TGGCACTCTTTCTCTTAAAATCCAAGTTGGGATGCACACAGCTCAGCCTGCTTGAGCTAACTGACATGCAGAGAGTACTCACTCTATGACACATTTTTTTCAAATGCACATAGAATATTCGAAGGTAGATCATATTCTATATCATAAAGCTGTTGTGAATGAAAACAATGGATTTTGAGAGCAATTTTACATGTATAGAAGTCTCACTGAATTGTAAAGGATGGTATTTTATGACCAGGCAGAGTTAAAGTAGCAATCAATGACACTGTCTAGAAAGTCACCACACATTTGGAAATTCAGCAGCACACTTGCACATATCCCTTTCTTAGATGGAGGAGATATTTTGACAGAATGGAAGCACAGCACATGAAAACTTGGTAAGACACAGCTAAAGCCATGTTTAGAGGGAAACTTATGGCATTGATGTTTGTATTAGAAAAGAACAAAATTCTAATACCCAGTTATCCTCAGAGGTTAGAAAGAAGATCAGATTAAATCCACAGTTAAGAAGAAAGGTAAAGATAATAGAAATCAAATGAATAGCTATTTTTATCTAGCTAAACTGGTTAAAGGAAAGGGAAAGACACACTACTACTACCTAGTGGGGAAATCCCCTGGATTAAAACAGCTTCATGCCAGTAAATTCAATAAGTTAGATGGCATGGGAGAAAATGTTTGGAGGGACTGGGCACAGTGGTGCAAACCTGTAATCCCAACACAGGGAAAGCTGAGGCAGGAGGATTGTGAGTTCGAAGTCAGCCTGGGCTACATAGTAAGACCTGTCTCAAAAAAAGAAATTGAAATTGAAGGATACCATGCCTTGGTTGGCAGTGGGGCTGGGAGTGGATCTTTTTGGAATGGTGGAGGTGCTCCGTGTCTTGGCCATGTTGATAATTACATGAATGAAGGCATGACTCAAAACTCAGCATTTAAAATGGATATTTTCAAAAGTCGTAAGTTATACCTCAGAGTTGGTTAGAGAAACCTGTGGAACTACACACTTAAAGTCTGTGCATTTTACTTTATGAGCATATCTTAGTTTTAAAACCTATTTAAGTTGAGTGCCAGTGGCTCACACCTATACTGCTAGCTACTTTGGAGGGTGAGATTGGGAGGATCACAGTTCAAGGCCAACTCTGGCAAATAGTTGGGGAGATCCTATCTCCAAAATAACCAGAGCAAAATGGACTGGAGGAGTGGCTAAAGCATTGGAGCACCTTTTTTGCAAGTGTGTGCCCTGAGTTCAAACCCAGTCCCACCAATCCCCTTCCCTCCCTCTCTTCCATCCTCTCTCCCCATACACACAAGCAAGGTGTATGCTAATAATCCTTTTGCTTAAATAAGGTCAGTTGCAGCTGGCCATGTTTGCTCAGAGCCAACATTCCGTAGCCTGTGCTTTCTCCGTATTCAGAACTTGTTGGGTCTTTGTTGCACTGGCATGATCATTTCACTCCACAGGAGGAATTCATGTCTCCCTTAGGGCTTCCAGTAACAATAGGAAAACAAATGTAAAACTCCAGTTGTATTCCCTTTACTTTTCCTGAAAGCTTAGCCCTATCCGTAGATGATGGGAAGGACGTGTTACTAGTGGATTGGTCTGTTTGATCTCAGCTAGGTTTAAAGATATCAGCTGGTCTTTCATATGAGTCATAAGCTCTTTGCTGGCATTTTATAAATAAATATGTGGAGTAAGAGAATGTGGCACTTTTCTTTCTTAAATCCAGGCTGGATATGTGCACAGCTCAGGAAGTCTCAAAGAGATCCATAGGTTTAGACTACAATCCTATGGTTTGCGGCCCCCCATGTAGCAGTGCTTTTCCCCTGCCTCTTTCCTCACAGACCACCATTTCCAGTAATTTGAGCTGCTGGCCGCAGGGTGTATGTAGTTCCGAAATTCTTTTTTTTTTTTGGTGGCACTGGGGTTTGAACTCGGGGCCTCTCACTTGCTAGGCAAGCATTCTACCACTTGAGCCACTTCACCACTCCTCTGTAATTCTAAGTAAAGTGTTTCTCTTCCAGTTCATTGGTTTAGACATTCAATCATTCACCTTATGTGGCTACCTGTAGTCACCGGTAGCGCACTGCACTTCATTAGTAAGCACCTGCTTTGCTTCATATGCTTTCTGTGTATTTATTGCTGATTCTTCCCATGCCTTCTTCTAGCCTCTCAGGACACTTTTTCACAGGGTCCCTTCACTGTCCAAAAACCATAATGCAACCTACATATATAATTTAACTTTTCCTAGTAGCCACAGCAAACGAAGAGTAAAAAGAAGCAGATAAAATGAATGTATATTTTATTTAACCCAGTTTGGCTAGTGGAGTGAGTGGTTCAAGTGATAACAGTGTCTGCCTAACTAGCATGAGGGCCTGAGTTCAAACCCTAGTGTAGCCAAAATAACAACAAAACATGTATTTTGGGCTGGCAGAGTAGCTCAGGTGGTAGACTGCCTGCCTAGCAAGCATGAAGTCCTGAGTTCAAGCCTCAGTACTACCAAAAAAAAAAAATTGTCCAAATTGTTATTTCTGCAACTATTGGTATTTCAGATACTTGAGATAATGCTAGTTCCTCTCATACTAAGTCTTCAAACTCCGGAGGTGTGCTGCCTGCAGCACACCTCCACACACTGGCTGGCTGCAGTAGTGATTGGTGTGCTGGATACAGCGGTTCAGGTGCTTCATCAGTTTCAGGTTTTTGTGATGACATCTGACTGGAGGCCCTCTTCTTCTGCTAGGTCTGTCCGCTGCTACACATGGCTGTGATCTTGTGATTCCCTTTGCTTTGCTTCTGATTGGAATCCCTGTTGCCTGATTTCAGGTCTTCTCCTTTCCCTCTGCTCGTTTAATTGGGTCACAGTTCGTATGCTGGAAAAAGGTGTATTATTGAGGCTACTGTCTCTTGAGTCCTACTTGCAGAAAACTTAGTTTCTACAGTTTTTATGAAAGTTTCCTCTGCTTTTGTTTTCACATTGGGCCATATTCCTTCCTTTCTCTTTCTTGGTTTATGTCTTTACTCAGGTGGAAGACATGCTGGGAAAAGGGAGTGCAGATGGCAAAGTGTGAGGCCCTCCCTGTGTGATGAGCAATGTTTCCGTTGTCTCTTTTCATGGGTTGCTGAGTTGGGGATAGAATTCTGGGTTTTAGAAATCATTTTTCTTCAGAATCTTGAAGGCGTTGCTCCATTGCTGGCCAGTGTTCAATGTCCTTCTTATGAAGTCGGACCATTCCAATCACCTTTCCCTTTGAAAGTGAACTGCTTTTTTATCCCCTCTGGAACAGAGTATTCTCCTGTCCACTGGACTCAGGATTGCACATTAACTGCTTTAGAATGGGCCTGTTTTATCATTGTGATGAACACTGAGGGGCTGGGAATTGCCTTGAATTATTTTTTCATGTTTTCCTTCCTTGTATTTTTATTTTGGTTCATTTGTCTATTTATTTTGACTTTATTTTCTGGAGGATTTCTTCTACTTTTTTCTGACTTTTCAACTGAGTTTATAATTTTTGCTATCTTGTTCTAAGTTCCAAGAGATATTTTTATTTTATATAACATTCTGTGTTTAATTTGCAGATAGAAGATCTTTTCTTATCTTTTGGAGTATAGTAGTGATAAATATTTTAGATCTTCCTGTCCTCTGCAGAGGACACCCCTTGTTTCCTCCAAGGGATGTTTTCCCTGGTTTTTGTTTTTCTCTTACTGATTTTCTTGCCATTTTGCATTAGGAATGTCGGCATTGGGAGACAGGGCTTTAAAGATGTCAGTCAGCACAGCCTCCAGGCAGGCTGCCAGCAGTATGTTTTAGTCTTTCCTCTTGTCTGGTCAGATCATCTAGAGCACTGTACCTCCTGCCTGGAAGGAAAGATGCAGCGAGGCGAGTGTTTGATAGGAAAAGGAGTCTGGGGGGTCCGCCAGACTTACACCCATTGTTGATGGAACAGTCACATTTTCCACTGTAGCTCAGTGAGAGCTTCTGATTTACATTTCTCAGAAAGTAGTGCTCCAAGTTTCTGCAGAAGTGTGAGTCGGCACAGTAGCTTGCAAGAGGACAAGGTAGGGTGGACTCTACCTTTCCTCACATGCCATGCTTGCCCCTCCTTCCAGCATGGCAGCACGTCTTGTGCTCTGGAGGACTCGGGAAGTCTGGGACGGCTCTGGGCTTTTGCACCGTGGCTTGCAACCATGCTTTCTCAGGCCCAGCAGACTCCCGGGTGTTCTGGTTTCTGGCTTGCAGAACTCTCTTGCTGCTGTCTCTTTTCCTGCTCTCCCTTATGCTCTTGTCTTTCTTTTTAATTGTGGCAAATCTACAAAAGATCAAATTTACCATTTGAACCATCTGTTAGACTTACAGCTTCATGGCAGTAAGTATACTTACATTGTTGTGCACGCTTGTCTTTTAGTGCTCAGAACAGACCGCTCGCTCCTAATGAGTGATTCTGTGAGTGTAGTGGTGTCCTAGGAGGGAGCAGAGTTAGACTCACATGATTCATCTAGCAGGAGGCAGGAGGCTCCTCCTAATCCAGGGGCACTGGCTCTGTCTGCCTTCTCCTAGGAGAGCAGTTAGATGGTTTGCCTAAGTGTCCCTTTATAGAAGTCTCCAACCGGAACTCCCAGACCTGGCATTCCAGGCTCTTCAAGATCTGGCCTGCCCACCCGTGTCCTCTAGCCGGCTGTCATCCCTCCCTACTGCCCACTTACTGTTCCTGGCAGCAGGTGGCTCTGCAGCCCCCTTGCCTTTGCTGTGCTGGGCATCCTGAGTAAAATGCACCCCTTCCAGCTCTGCCTCTTGCCTCTTCCAGCTTCCAGCCCCACATCATGGCCTCCAACCCCGGGCCTATGGTTCCTCTTCTGTTTCCCTCCTGTGACCTGACCTTGTCTGTACTTCTGAATTATCTCCTTGCCCTCCCACAATGCCTGGCATATCACTGGTGCCCAGTTAAATGTACAGATGAATTCCTGGTGCCAGAGATTTCAAACGAGAACTCTTCATCCTTTCTTATAGGACATCCGACATGAAGCTAGTGACTTCCCATGCAGAGTGGCAAAGCTTCCCAAGAACAAAAACCGCAACAGGTACCGAGACGTCAGTCCCTGTAAGTATCCCCAGCGTCTCCTTCTCAGTGCAAGGTCTTTCTGACATGACTCCTTTATCCTTTACCCCAGGGTTTGAAGAGGCTTATGACCTGTCTTCTGTCATATGGGCACTAAAGATTGAGAGTAAATGGTCCATTTTTCTACCACTATAGAAGGATAAGGCTTTCGTTTCTGGAAAATTCAGCAAAGTCCAAACACTGCTTTTTAGCTTTGTTTTGTGATGAGTCATTTTCCCACCAGCTGAAGCAGAGTACAGCAGGCATGATGTCCCTTTTTGGGTGACTCAGCAGCAGTATTATTAGCCCCCATCATTATTGTTGCCCGCACAGGCAGGCAGGGGTGGAAGCTGGGCACCCCTCCACTAAATATGCAGGTCAACTCTGCACAGAGCCTGCCCCCAACCACCTCCACCAGTTCTCTCCTACCTGCCCTTAGTGCCTGCTGGCCAAAGGCAGCCTCCTGCCACCTGGGTGATTGGTTCTCAGTGTGCCGGTATCTTGAAAGTAAATAACTGAACTCATTAGGATTTGTGTAAAGCAAGAAAAACTGAGTTCAGGACTGAACTTTTCCATGTCCACTGGGCCTCATAGGCCTTTGTGACTCCCTTCTGGGTCTGTAGACCTTGCCCCTCAGCAGAGCCATAGCCGCCAGCATCTCCTGGCAGTTGCTTAGGTTCCTGGGAACCTAAAATTGGTACAGTGGTGCCTTCTGCATCTCAGCTCAGCCACTGAGAGCTGTGTAGTGTGGACAAGTTGGTCCTTTCTCCAGTCATCAGTTAAACAGGAGTCTTTGTTAGCTCTTAGCAGTGTGTGAAGGTGAAATGGAACAAAAGCCACTTAATCCGGCACCTTGCTAAAATGCTATGAGTACTCAGTAAGTATTGGCTAGATGGAGACAGTGGCCACCAGGTCATCTGAAGAGCACATCTGTGGGTCCTCGGGTGATATGTGATGGCGTCCAGTACCCAATGCTTTTGATACAGCATGCCTAGACCAAGGCACCTCACAGGGATTTATGTAGAAGTCCAGTGCGCTATCCATTGCGCAGTAGATCATGGGGGTTTATTTAAAATAGCAACAACAGGGCTGGTGGAGCGGCTCAAGCGGTAGAGCATCTGCCTAGCAAGCGTGAGGCCCTGAGTTCAAACACTCATACCACCAAAACCAGTAATAACAATAATAAAATAAAATAACAACAACAAAATAAAACACCAAAGCCTTTGTGATTCTGCTATGAAGTCCTGGCCAGCTAATATGAGTGTGACAGAACACTCAGTGCTCACCCCTTGGCACCACAGTATCCTGGGTTTGCTAGCTTTTTCTGTGCAGCTCTGAATGGGGGAATAGTGTCTGTACTATTCCTTTGCTACATTTTGGCTCATTTCTCTCCTAAAGAGTTTTAGAGTTTTAGCTGTACAACACTGAAGATACTCTACCTGGAAACTATTCCCAAACTTTTCCACCCTTGGTCTCATTCCTCTTATCTATCTTTTTCTCCTCTACCTTTACTCTCTAGTAGAAAAAGTAGTTTGCTGTTATAGGAGAAAGGAAGAGAATCATCCAAGGTCGAAGGTGACCTGCTGCCCAGCCCACAGGGCTGATGGTGACAGTAACAACACTTACCTCACACCCGCTGCCGAGTGCAGCTTTCCTTCAGCCCTCTTGGTACAGAGTTTGTATCAGCAAGTGAAAAAACAAGGCTCAGAGGACAAGGTGTTTGCAGAAGGTCATCTAGTGCTATTTAAACCCACTCGACCCACCAGTGTAATCAGTTTTTTGTTTTTGTTTTTGTTTTAAATATCTTTTATCTCTGTGCCCTCTTAAAAATTACCCAGCTACCTCAATTTGTGTTAGCCCTCCATTGTGAAAAACGGCATTCTGGGAAGTTGCTCATTTCTGGGATGAAATCCTTCTTTAGAACAAAAGACCCAAAGCACTATCCCCAGAAGTGCCTCCTAATGCCTCCTTTCCCATTGGTCTCAGGTGAACATACTACCTTACAGGTAGTCACCGGGTTCATTGTCCCATGTGCTGTGCCAGAAACACAAGTACCCACCTGCTCTTATTAGCCAGCAGGGTAAGGCAAAGTGGCCCTGGGAACCTCTGCTTTTTTGACAAAGTAATGATGCAGGGCAGGGAGGGGAGGCTGTTTTTGGTTTGTTTTTTTGTTTTGTTTTGTTTTTTTTCTTTTTCCTTCAGTAACCTGAGATAGAACTTCCGAATTAATTTAATTCTAAAAACTAATCTAAAAGTTACATTTGAACTCTTCAGTATTTGGGGTTTGGCGTTTTTTCCAGTTAAATTCTTTTTTTTTTTTATGTCTTTTGTTCGTTTACTTTTTGATACAGGGTCTCACTGTGTTTGCTCAGGCTGGCCTCAAACTCGAGATGCTCCTGCTTCAGCCTCTTGAGTGCTGAAATTACAGGCATGTACCACCATGCCAGACTCCTCTTTTAAGTGTTTCTGATTGTAACATACGAAAGATTTAGAATCGTTTAAATTTATTACATATGAACTTTAAAGAAAAACAAAAGACGTGTATAAAAGAATTCAAGATAATGACTTTTCATGCTGCCTTAGGTCATTTACTCTTCACACCACTGGGCCCAGGTGAGTTGGAGGTGCAATCATAAACCCTGCCTACTGTAGCTCATTGTGCCAGCTGTAGTTAGGGTGTCTGGGGTGAGTTTGCAGTGACTTTGTTCCTTTTTAGAGACTGAAGGCACTATAATTTTTATGTTAGGTATGAGAAAACAGATCCTTTGATGCCCTCCTGTGGCCTGCCAAGTTTGGAGAATATGGTCCTCATCCCAGGAAGATAGGGCCTGAGAACAGACTGCCCAAATAGGACATGATCTAGGGCTTTGTGTACTTTATTGTTACTGCTATTCAGTGTTTTGTTTCAGGCATGTCAGAGAATCCTTCCCAAAAACATCAGTCACTCTACGTAGATGACTAGCATCACTTAAAACATCCAAGCCTCGAGCAGTGTGAACACCCATAGTGCCACGGACTACTTTTCTCTGCTGTTCTGATTAACCTGAGTTCTGGTTTGCCTTTCAGTTGACCACAGTCGGATTAAACTACATCAAGAAGATAATGACTATATCAATGCTAGCTTGATAAAAATGGAAGAAGCTCAAAGGAGCTACATTCTCACCCAGGTAAAGAGATTGACTGAGTTTTTCTTTAATGTCAACTTAAGAGTTTTAGAATGTTATTGTCTACACTGCAAATAAAATCTACCACATCCTTTAGAAGTTCAGGTTTTTCATAAACCGAAAAGCAACACCATGGGGGGATAATCTTCCTCAGAGACTGTTTGGTTGCAGCACCACTCTTTTCTGGGAAGTATGAAGTCACTGGGAATGGGCACAGAAAGAAAACAGTATAAGTTGCCAGTGGTCTGTTGCCAGGGGCTGTGGAGCTAAGGCTGGAGAAGGGCCTAGACCTATGCTGATCCCAGGTGGATTTGCCTCAGTGCCATGCACTCTTGCTGGTAGATCTGAAGGGCTAGCAGGAGGCTGGGCATCTTTGTCCAGAGAGCTGCTCAGATTTCCTCACTATGGGCCTCATTCTTTGGCCCAGAATAAAGCATCATTAGAGTATGTGAACAAGAATGAAATATCTTTTAAAATTCCTATTGACTCTTGGCATCTTTATAGAAAAAGATCATGAAAGTGGTTTAATAATTGAACCTCTTATAAAACCAAAAGATCATGAGTATCTGGGAAAGGGGATGAAAGAGTTTCTTTTTAATTAATTCTATCCAGTCTTAACCTGTTACCTGAAGTTTGATGTAAACAGATCTTAATTGTCTTGTTTTGTTTTGGCTTTTTTTTTTTTAATCATAATTTTCATTTTCTCTTTCCATATCAGCTTATCAGTGTTCTATATGGCTTAAGTTATAGGGTGATTTTCAACATCACAATTCTGCTTTATATTTGCAAATTAAAACTCTGGTGTGGCCAGAAAGCTTTGTAGGCAAAGGCTGCGTTGGGCAGAGGCCAGGCCAGGGCATTTCCACCCTCACCTCACCCTTCTTCACTCTTTCTCATCCCCACCCAGTTTCTCCTTGTCTGTGACCGAAATCAACCCCAATGCCTCCCAGTCGATGTGTGGAACATCAGCCAGGCTGTGTTCAGTCCTGTGGGGCAGAATAAGTTTCTTGTTGTGTGAGTACGGGGCCAGCCTTCCCTAGGCCTCAAGCCCCAGATCCTCCAATACCTCTGGGTTTTTGGGGTGGGCTGCTAGCATAGGGGTTGATAAAGAGGGAGTTGCCTACTGGAAGCAAGCTGGTGGGAAAAGGGTGAGGCATAAATAACTTCTCGAGGGCCTCTCTTGTTGGAGGAGTCAAAGTTCTTCCTGATTTCAGCCATTCAACTTTGACATGAGGTCTATACCCATTAGAGGGCATGTAATGTCAGAGTCAAATGGAGCATTAAGAGATTACCAGGGAAACTCATACTGCTCTCCTTCTCACTCCCATCCCCTAGCAATTACATGGAACCTGTGATGTTTTTTCCCATTTGTGAGGTGGAACTGTAGATGCTGTAAACTCTTGCATAGTACCTTTGTGCTTTGAAGAAGAAATTGAGAAGGAATCAAAACAGTGACCCCAAAGTGTCACTTCTAGACAGCATGACTGAAACATTTCCCAAGCCACCCTTCCCGTTTTTTCTTATGCTGTCCGTTATGCAGGTACTACTTTTATAAAATATATTCTCATTTTGGAAAATTCGGTCACTGTCCTCAGCTTCCACCACTAAGGGCCCACTGAATTGGAGGTGTGTCCTTTCAGATCTCAGTGGGTTCGCTCCTTCAGACCCTTTTATTTATCTGTTTTTTGGAGGAACTGGGGTTTGAATTCAGGGCTTCATGCTTGCAAAGCAGTCACTTTGTCACTTGAACCACAACTCCAGCCTCTTCCGTGGTATTGGGATAGGGAAGGTGATAGATGAGTAGCAGAGAACTACAGCTGTGAAGGACCAGAACCAGAGGGCAAAAAGCCCAGATGTCCAGCCAGGTGCCACAGTCTTTCACCTGCCAGGCGCTATCTTTCTGATGGTTATGTGTGTGATGACTGTTGTCAGAGTCCTTGTGATACTCACTCAGACATCAGAACATTTTGCCTGGCTCAGGTAGGAAGTTTGAGAGGAACTCAGAGAAGACAGAGAAGATGCTGAGAGCTAGCATGGAAGGAGAGTGTAGCAAAGATTGAAGGAATACAAGGACCTTGGGTGGAAGTAGGTGAGAATGGAGACCATCCCACAAAATGAAGAATGGGAAGGACAGCCCTGGGGTGGAAGTGATTGCTGAAGTGAACTCCAGGCTTTCTTGTACCTGGGTCCAGTCATCATTCTTGCCCATGACCGAGTGGGCTTGCTGCTCCCCAAGCACCTCTTCCTCCCCCTGCCGGAGCACCTGCATGACCATTTGCAAGCCCACATCTCTCCGGTTCCTTGGTACAGGGATGACGGCTACCTGTGGCCAGGTCTGTCCTTGTTAATAGTAAGAGCAGTAGCTCACATTGTATTGGCACTTACGGTATTTCAGGTACTGTGCCATGTTCTTTACATAGCTAAATGGACTTGGTTAACTGTGATAGGCGCTGTCTTTAGTCAAGTGAGATTGACCAGGAAACTGAAGCACAGAGAAGTGAAGCGACTTGCCTGAGGTCACAAGATGACAGTGACAGGAACTGCTAGAGTATCGAGGTTATTCGTGGCCGATACTGCCTCTCGGCTCACACAGTAGTTTTGTCCCATGTCCCACCAGCCCTTCAGCCAGCAACCAGACTCAGAGGCAGAATCTTCTGTACTTGGTACAGCCCTTCCCAGCCCTGCTTCGGAAGTTGAAATGACTTTTCATTGCATGGTAGAATGTAGATTTCGTGACTGATCATTGCAAAGGGAGTGGCGTGTCCTGTCCCAGCCTCAGCTACCACTCTGAGCTGGTGAGGATGGAGGGCACTGAAATCCACTGACATCCACTGACTGCCTGTGATGAGCCTACATCACAGTGTCTGTCTCCAGCGTCACAGTTTGTAACTTGTGTTTGCAGGGCCCCCTGCCTAACACGTGTGGGCACTTCTGGGAGATGGTATGGGAGCAGAAGAGCAGAGGCGTAGTCATGCTCAACCGGGTGATGGAGAAAGGGTCGGTAAGTCATCTTTGGTTTCCTCTTGGTGTCACTGTCTGTGTGCACACCAGTCCACAGTGCTACCGTTGTTTGTCTGAATTTCCATATTTTCTTTATTGCTTTTATATTTCCTTTACATTGTATCTTTTTTACTTAAAAAAATGAAAGAAGCAAAGTATAAATACACATTGTTGCAAACAAGTCAATTTGATGAATAAAAAGGGAGAGAAAAGTAAGGTTGCCCTTGACCCATTTTGGTGGGGCCTGCAGGCCTTCTGTGGGTGTTCCGATTTGCTCTGCCTGCACTTCCTACTGCTGCCACTGTGTCATAGACTTGGGTAAGCATTGTTGCTCTTCATGCAACTTTTTATGTGTCTTCATTGTGTCTGCCTTTTGGCTGGTCAGGGTGTGTGCCTCCAGTTGCTACAGAGGTGACTGTGAAATTCAGTTGCCACCAGGAAATGTCCTGGACACTTACCCCTGGCCACACTGCTTCACTGTGGCGGGTGTCTGCTGGTGCGTTTACTTCAGGATTAATGTCAGAAATTCTAAGTTCTTTGCAAGTCTTAACACTATCCTTCAGACTCTACTGCTGGCCTCACAGGATAGATACAACAATGGTGTGGCTTATAGAACCTGCAGGTCTGACCTTGGCTACCTGGACCACCTCTCCCCACCCCAAACTCCAACTGGGACAGACTTTCTGTTCCAATTTCAGTTTTCTTTTTTGGGGCAGTATTGAGGTTTGAACTGAGGGCTTCCCACTTGCTCAGCAGATACTCTCCTGCTTGAGCCATGCCTCTGATTTTGCTGTGATTACTTTAGGGATTGGGTCTCATTTTTGTGCAGGCTAGTCTCGACTGTGATCTGCCTATTTTACGCATCCCACTATAACTGGGATGACCACTATGTGTCACCACACCCAGCTTTTTCCTGTTGAGATGGGGTCTTACAAACTTTTTTGCCCAGCTGGCCTCAAACTGCTATCCTCTGAAGCTCAGCCTCCCAAGTAACTAGGTTTATAGGAGTGAGCCTCCAGTGCCCAGCTGTTATAGTTTCTTACTGTGTTCTGCAGGCCAGGGTTTGGATCACAGCACCCAGTTTCATCTCACACCCAGATATCTTCAGGTTGTTACCCACAGATCACCCTATAGCCCTGTTCTTCTATCACCCTTCTTCCTCCTGCAATTGCCCCAAAGGCTGGCTTTGTGTGCAAGTCTCAAGGCTGGATTTCAGCAGAGGCAACAGGCTCCTTACCCCTCCCTGCTCTCATCCCTCCTGCCTCTGCTTGTACTTGAGCTCCCCAGCTCCAGGTGCTGAGGCCTCAGGAAAAGGTGAGTTGAGGATTGTAGGGACTGACAGGAATGTGTGGCCTGGGAGCAGAGAACTGGATGTCCCTGTCCTCTAGCCTTGCCAGGTCCTGGCACCATGCTCTCTGGGGCTCAGACCACCACTCACACAGTTGTCCTAGCCATCTCAGGCTAAGAACATGAGGGCTCCAGAGACCACCCCTCCAAAGAAGGCACCATGGTGCCTTAGAGGGTGGGAAACACCAGTGCAAAGAAGCAGCACACCAAAGGAAGCCTTGACAGTGAGGTCAGCATTAACCATAGGCCTCCCCCCACTCACCTGACACCTTGGAGGACAGCACATGGTTAAAACATGTTTGTTTTATCTTCTTTTGCCTCTGCCCACTCTTGTGAAGCACAAATGTATGTATTTGCTCCATAGTCACTGACGGGACATTGCCTGTGCATTCCGCTAATGGAATGGCAGTGCTCATCTTAGAAAGCCCTTGTCCATGAAAAGTGGCCTTGAGCTTGTTTCTTTCTGCTTCTGTGGCTTGATTAATAAAATGTAGTTGCTGATGGGAAATGAGCCCTGTCCTTCGCCATCCTCTGGGCAGCTTTGACTAAAGAGAAATGTTAGGTTCCACAGCACACGCTCCACAAAGGAAATGCCTCCTATGGTCAGGGAAGCGTTTGGGCCGGGTCATTTTCTCTCCTGGGGTGGGGCTGTGCATTTCAGATGTTCAGCACCACCTCTGATCTCTACCTGCTAGATGCCAGGAGCATCACCACCCCAGACACAGTCGTCACACATCTCCACATCTTTGTGCCACACTTTGTTCGGGCCCTGGCAGGTGGCATTGCCCTGGTTGAGAGCCACTGCTGTACATGACAATGGAGGTTGGAAATTCTGGGTGATTGTTTAGTTTAGTTTAGTTTGTTTGTTTTGTTTTGTGTAACCCAGCTGGCCTCTACCTCACAGAGGTGAGATACACCACTGTGCTCAGTAGGGGCTGGGAATTTTAAATCAGTATATTTATTCACAGATCATCAGCTGTGGTAGGAGTCCCCTTTTATTTGTTTGTTGCTAGAAGTTCCAGTAAAGACACTTTGCTGTTAGCACAGTTTGCTTAAGCAAGTGTTGTCACATTAAAAGGAATGATGTCTATGCTATAGTTACATGTTTGTCACCAGGCCCATCTCTGAGCTGTTTCCCACCCAAGATTCACCATAAACAGATTCACTGTGGCAACCTTTCCCCTGGGATTACTGTGTAGGCCATCACAAAACATGGCTGATTGGTTTTATTGTAGTTCACTCTGAAAATGTGGCAGTAGTCCTTGTTTTCTTTTAGAACTATTCCATTCCACTCGGGGTTACTCACGCATATAAGCAGGCATGAAAAGTAGTGTATGCTTTGAGGCTTTGAAAGTTGGTTTGGGATCAACATTGCCAATTCTGCATCCACATGATCACTCCCAGAAGGGCTGCCAGGGAAGTCCTGTGTCTCATGGACTCCACTCACCAAATTATAAGCTGCTATCCTGCAGAGGCTCCGGAAACACACATCTGCTCTCTGCTTTTCCTCCTCCACCAGACAGTTTAGGATGTTCCCTTCTTGCTTTTGCATATCAGTCTGTTATCTTTCAGAACCTCATGCTTCCTGGAAGCCAGTTATACAGATGGTTGTGTTAGTCTGGGATCAGCCAAATGGCCAAAGTTCTCACTGACTCAATTTTAAAATTGATTTTAGACCTTTCAACGTGGAGTGTACTTGGATGTAAGGTTGGGGTTATTGTTTAGACAGGGGGAGTGGGCTGGATAAGTTTAATTTGACACTCTAGAGCATGGCCTGTATCTCTGCCCTGGAACCCCTATGCAAGCCACTGTTGAGTTTTGGGAGTTTTCACGCAGAGGACATAGTGCTTTGTAATGTGGGTACCTTAGGCTCATGCACTTCTCAGGCTCTGCTCACTTAGTTCTCTCTGTTCATCACTCTTTGGGAGAACCAAATCTTCTACCACAGGGTCACGTAGATGATTTCTGTAGGTTCTTCTTAAGGGTGCCTGGCTGGCTGGGCACCAGTGACTGACACCTGAAATCCTAGCTATTCAGGAGGCAGACATCAAGAGCATCATTGTTTGAAGACAGCCCTGGGCAAATAGTTCACAAGCCCCTATCTCCAGAAAAACCCATCACATGGGCTCATAGAGGGTCTCAGATAGTAAGAGCACTTGCCTAGCAAGTGTAGGCCCTGAGTTCAAACCCCAGTACTGTCAAAAAAAAAAAAGAGTGCCTGGCTATTTGCTTGGAAGTCCCAAGGACTCTTGCTAGCATCTGCTGTCATGGTGGAAACAAAGGCTACTAGGGACACCAGCATGTTAGCACTGCTGCCTTCCTGTCCTGTGCTGACCAAGAGGCCTGGATTTGGAGCCCAGTGATGGGCTGCTTTCCGGTAAGAGCTGGGCTCCTGCTCAAGACAGCAGTGTAGTAGGATAACTGGAGGTAGGGAGAGGCCTTGTACTGTTTTTTTTGTTTGACTTTGTATGTTTAAAACAAAATTTCTACGGGAAATGACAGCAAGCAGAGCATGTTCCTGTAATGCCTAATTAAATATTGCCAATGGACACTTGGTTTCATGCCAGAACTCTTCTGAAGTCTTGGTTTTCCCCAGATTAAAAAGATTTGTCAGGCTTTTTAGGTGCTTCTGAAAGTGAGTGGAAGGTTTAAAAGTTTGCCTGCTCACAAGATGAGGGACATCAGCCCCTTCCTCTGTGTGATGGCTGTGCTTCGTTTTTGTTCTCTTCACTCTCTGCTCACTGTGGTGGGTGACTACATCAACACAGGTTGCTGTGAACCCACCAGGTCACCCTCTGGAGGCACCCTCAAATCTACCAAACAGAAGTGTGGGAATAAGCACATTCCTTTGAGATCTCCTGTGATCTTCCTCCTGACCACCTCAGCTAATGTCTCCGCATCCAGAGTGGCAGAACTATATCCTTGCTGACAGTTGGCCCCTCCAAGGGGCTCGTCTTTGCCAGCTGGTCATCAACATAGGAAGGCCATACTGGTGCAAACAGGCTCTCAAGAAAGCCCTCTTGGTTTCAGAGGGCTGGGAAGTTGAATGCTAAGCTGGCATTGCACCCTAGTGTTCCTGCATTTATATCTCCTGCTTTTTTGTTTGCCACAGCTTCTAGGCCAATATAGCAGAAGCAGCAGGCACCCATGGTTCTGTGGTCACCCTCGAGAGCCACCTGACTGCTCACCACACTGGATAACACCACAGGTCTCTGAGCCTGACACGGCGATGGCTGTGCTCAGGGCCTCTGTTGGCCCATCTCTTGCTGCTCCTCTGAGCCTCGCCTTTGCAGCCCCTGCCCCAAAATCCTAGCTGCCCTTCACAGCCTGCCTCCTCATCACCTCTGACCTATTTTCTCAGCCAGCCAGAGACATCTGCCCTCTCTGGATCCTTGTGACACATTGGCATTATCTGCCCCTTAGCTTCCCACCATGCCCCTTGTCCCTGTGGTTGTGACTGTCCCTCCTGGCAGACAGGACTCCCCTTGAGGGGCTTTCTTCATTCACACCATCAGTTGTCCCAGAGGAGTACTAGTGGGTCAGTGTGAGTTGCAAGTGTCATTTACCAGAGAGCTGATCACAACACTGGCATTTTTTTTGGAGAGAATCTTAAGACTCTGAGGTCTTCTGTCTGCCATGCTGTCAGTCCTTCTGCCTCAGAGACCACAGCTTGTTCCTGGTCCTCACCATCTTTGTCCAGACAGCCATCGGCAAGCAGAAATGTCTGAGTAACTGGCAGAGAAACAGTGACAGGAGCACACACTGCATTTGGAAGTATGTGTCCTGTGAGCTTCACATGAACCAAATCTTCAGCTCTGCTTGTTTTAAAGAAAACCCTAGGGATCAACTTTTTTAATTCTATTTTATTTTTGGCCGTACTGGTGTTTGAACTTGGGTTTTCAAGGTAGACACTTTGCTGTTTAAACCCCACCCCCCAGCCCAATGATCAACATTTAAATCAAGATCATTAAACAGTTTCTGAATTATCAAAATAGAACATCACAAGTATTTTTCAGAATTGAATCGAACCAGAATGAAAGGGTGAGCATGCGGTCCTCCAAGCCACTCCATTCACTGCCAGCCTTTCTGAAGCACTTCCCTGCCGTCTGTCCCGCCTTGTTTGTCATTGCATGTGGGGCTTCCTCATGGCTAAGGCGCTTGTGCTCTGTGCGTCCACAGCTCGATCAGGGCAGTGTTTGAGGTGGTTACAGGAAGGCACTTGTGAAAGGCAAACCTTTTGTGCAGCCTGGCTTTGCCTCGTCGTTGGCAGGTGAGGAGCAGAGCCCTGCAGCCCCCATTGCTGCTAGTGGCAGGAAGTCTGAACCCTAGCTGTCCACACAGCAGCCTGGGTCAGAAGCCTCACAGCCCTCCCCAGCTCACCAAAGCAGGAGCTGTGCTGACCAGACCTTCCACAGTCAGAAAAGCTCCGGGCCTTTGTGTTGTCATAAAGCCCATGGAATGTTCTCCAAGCCTGCTGTCTTAGGAAAATGGTTGCTGGCTCACAGTAATGCAGTGTTATTTCCTCCCCTAGTTAAAATGTGCCCAGTATTGGCCGCAGAAAGAAGAAAAAGAGATGGTCTTTGATGACACCAATTTGAAATTAACATTGGTCTCTGAAGATATCAAGTCATATTACACAGTGCGACAGCTAGAGCTGGAAAACCTGGTGGTGAGTGTGATGGCCATTAGCTGCTTCAGGCAGCTCCCAGCTGGGCTGCCTCGTCCCTTGGGTGATTCCTGACACAGCGCTTCCGGGAGTTGGGTACCTCAAGCAAGGTGTGACTTTGTCACCATGGTGAGCAGAGCTTCCTTGCCTACTCACCGAGTGACCTGAGGCTTGGGGAGGGGAGGCATGGATGCCTTCTTCCCCACAGAGTGCTCTCCAGCCTTAACACCAGTCAGCACCAGTTCTTAGAGAAAAGGCAGTGTGACTATAGAGGGACCACAGTGAGTGCCTGCAGTTAAAATGCCCGCAGAGTACGCCTTCCTTGTGGCCTGCGGCCTCCATGGCCTGTGGTCTCCATCTAAAGTGAGGAAGGGGGCTTGCCCCACTGGCTCCACTTTCTTGGCCAGTGAAGATTTTCTAGGTCAGGTCTTAGGTTTATTTATTGTGGAAAACATTTATAACACTGGTTGCTCACCATCACTAAAATGTGCTCTTGGAACATGGCAAGACCCTATGCTAATAAGCAGCAAAGTAATTTGCTGGAAACCATGATTCTGAAGAGTCCTCCTGGTCCTGGCATAGTGTAGGGTTCATAGTGGCCAGCCAGCAGTCTCTGGGACCAGACTGTCTGGGCCTGAATCTTTCAGACTATCAGACCCAGGGCCAGGGCCATCACCTCAGTGTCTCCATTTCCTCTTCCATCAGACTGGGGCTGGCAGAGGTTCCAGGAGGTCACATGTGGAGGGTTAATTGGTACACAAGGTATAGTAACATGGAACCAGGGCAGGCCAGAAAAGTCCAGAGGAAAGGTGGGGTTATAGGTGACTGCTTGGCGTGGGGCTTGCTGGACTGTGTGAAAGGTCAGAGCCTGCTTCTGAGTGGGATTCGCAGACCCTCAGAAGTTCCTGGTGTTGAACTCATAGTTGAAGTCAGATCTGAAACTTAACATAGGATACCATGTCCTTGCAAGGGGCCTGAGAGTGTGATTGACAGAGGGGGAGATCCCCCAGAACCTGGGTAGGATTAACACTGCCAGTGTGTGGGAATGTGCCTGGGGGACTATGTGGAGACCCTTCTTAGGTTTCTTAGCATAGCATTTGCAGGCCTGAAGAAAACAATTCAGCAGAGTACAAGAGATTCGAACTTGTTGCTTGGCAGAGCAAATATAAGAGACTTTGAGGGCTTTTTTGTCTGAGTTTGTTTGTTTATTTGTTTGTTTGTTTTAAAATGGGGGTCTCCTGTATAGCTCAGGATGGCCTTGAACTCACAATGTTCCTGCCTTAGCCTCCCAACTGCTGGGATTACAGTTGTGTTCCACCATGCCTGGCCAGCTTGTAGGTTTTCATTCTTTTTGTGGGGCAGTACTGGGGATTGAGCTCAGGACCTCATACTTGTTGGGCAGGTGCTCTACTGCTTGAACCATGCTCCCCACCCCTAGTTTGTAAGTTTTGGTGTTAGGGTTCACTTGCTCCAACGACTTCATTGTTACAAAACCCTTTCTCAGCCATGGTGTGTTTGTGCTGGGGCCTAGAACAAGAGTCCTCGTTGTGGGGGGCAGAGGTGTCAGGGAAGGACCCACCCCCTTCAAAAGAGTAAAAAACTCACTTTTGGCATGTTTTCTTCTTATCCAACTTTAACAGATATTTTAAATACTTTCTCTCCTCTCAAAATAGAAGTGTTTCTCTTTAGTGCCTTTACAGTTACATGGAAGAATTGCTTCCTGTGATTCTACAAATTACCCTAATGTGCAGATGTCCCCAGCTCTGCAGAAAAAGATACGTGTGTCTAGTAGTCAGGCAGGGTTAGCTGTCTGTGTGGGAGGTGCTCAGCGGCAGCACACTGCAAGCTCTCAGAGCAGGTGATACCTTGACCTCACTGTGAAGGAAGGCATTGTTTGCAAGCAGGTCCCCAGCTCAAAGCATCACTGTCAACTGCTCTCCAGAGGTGGAGGCTCACACGGGTGCTAGCACCATGTGTTAGGAGACCCTGAAGGCTGTCAGGGTTGCTCTCTGCAGCCTCTCCGATGCCCACATTAGGAGACAGCAGTCCCAGGGACCTGTCCTCTCATGGCCTTGCTTTCCAGGTGACTGGTTCCTGTTTGCTGTGCCTTTAGGCTGCTTAGGGTCTTAGTACCTTTCTCCTATGAGAGCTGCTGGAAAGGGTGAAGGGAGGAGCAGCGCTGCTGTTTCTGAGGCACCACTAGGGGTCGCTTTAAGACAGAGGTCGTGTAGCAGACTCTGACAGAGGGCTCCTCCTGCATCTAGGGCTCCTCATCTGGAAACTGGATGCATGGGTGCAGGGCCCCACAAGGTGGAGGGGAATGTGCTGGGCCCACATGCAGGCAGGTAGGGTTGCTCCATTCCTGACTGCTCCTGTCACCCCCTCCTCAGTGACCATCTCTTCAGCTGGGCGCTAAGCACACAGGCAATCCCCCATCTTTGGAGACTGACTTGGTTACATCCTCCTGTGCTGTAATTTTTTTTTTCTTGTTTTTTTTGTAGCAGCACTGGGGTTTGAACTCAGGGCCTCACACTTGGAAGGCAGGGACTCTACCACTTGAGCCATCCACCAGCCCTGTTTATATCCTCCTGCAAAGCAGCAATCCTCTGAAGTGTCCCAGAGGTGGTAAAGCCCTGAGTGACCCGGAACCATGCAGTTGGTCTTTCATCTTGTACTGGAACCTTGGTGGACTTTCTGACCACATTATCGTGGGTGGCGGTGCAAGGTCATTGTGACTTCCGAGGCAGAGGAGACAGTTATAACCACGTGAACATGGACATGAGAGAGACTTGGGAGGAAAGGGCTCTGTCCCATCCCAAAGGACAGGGAGTTCTAGGCAGAGGCAGCTGCGGTTCGCACGGGTGCCTGTTTCCTGGCTGTGGGGCTGTGGGGAGAAGTCTGAGCCGGGTACGTAGAAGACTGCAGTGTACACGTGAATTGAGTGATCTCCACCGCTGGTTCTCCTAGCATCATCAGAGCCTTTATCTCTTTCAGACTCAAGAAACGCGAGAGATCTTACATTTCCATTATACCACGTGGCCTGACTTTGGAGTCCCAGAATCGCCAGCCTCATTTCTGAACTTTCTTTTCAAAGTCCGAGAGTCAGGGTCACTAAGCCCTGAGCACGGCCCTGTTGTGGTGCACTGCAGTGCTGGCATTGGCAGGTCGGGGACCTTCTGCTTGGCTGACACCTGCCTCTTGCTGGTGAGGAGGGCTTTGAGTGCCCAGGAAGAGAAGGAAACACATTTGAACTCTGCCCCACTGATCACAGCTCCCCATTGCTATCTGCAAATGTTCTTCCTCATGGGACATCTAGCTTTGACCTTGGCTCTTCAAGTCCCTGAAAAGAAACTGCTGTAAATCAGTTTTGTTTGCCGGATACTCCAGTTGTAACAGGGAATCGGAGGGAGGGAGAGCTGGAAAATCCCCTTTGCTCTCCTGCTGAACTCTTCAGCCCCATGCCTACAGGGTCCCAGTTTGCTTCATTTTCTCACATTCTTTAGAACTCCTCCCCACACCCCACTGATTTTCCTGGTTAGAAACCTGAGCCCTCTTGTCCCAAAACATGGAATGTCTCCTTGTGCTGGCTGAATCATGTCTCCCTTCTGGCTTTCAGATGGACAAAAGGAAAGACCCTTCTTCTGTGGACATCAAGAAAGTGCTGCTAGAGATGAGGAGATTCCGGATGGGGCTGATCCAGACGGCTGACCAGCTGCGCTTCTCTTACCTGGCTGTGATCGAAGGGGCAAAGTTCATCATGGGAGACTCCTCAGTGCAGGTCAGCTCTGCTTTAGCCCATGGGCAGCGATTTCCAGGATTTCTCCTGTTCTGTTTTGTTTTGATTGGTGATGGAGCCCAGGGCCATGGCGTGCTAGGCAAGCACTGTACCACTGAACTACACCCTAGTCCTTGTTTTTATCTTTGAAGGAGTCTGTCAATCATAAAAGTTCAGACACTATTGGGTCAGAGGAAAGTGAGAAAGTTGTTTGCAAGTTGCAATTTTTCTTTGAAGTGCTCACCGGAGAGCACTGATAGGAAGAGTAGACCAGCTTTCAAAAGATTTCACCTTCTATATGTACAACCAAGACCAAGAAGCCGAGAGCTCCTCACTGCACTGTCAGCTCTGTTCACTGACAATTCTGTCAGCAGTGACCACTAATGGGACTTCCTCCTGCTGTTCTTTCAAGGGTCAGTGGAAAGAGCTTTCCCATGAGGACCTGGACCCCCCACCCGAGCATGTGCCCCCACCTCCCCGGCCACCCAAACGGACCCTGGAGCCAAACAATGGGAAATGCAAGGAGCTCTTCTCCAACCACCAGTGGGTAAAGGATGAAACTGAGGAGGATAAAGATGGCCCTATCAAGGAAGAAAACAGAACCCCCTTAAATGTCCCCTACAGCATGGACAGGTAATGTGAGAGGGACCTGCCTTATTGGGGGCAAAGGGCAGTGACCTTGCATTCCAGAATCACATTCCAGTTGGCCTTGAAAACCTGTGGCCACTACCTCCCTTTGGCACACCCTGCTTCCACTTTGGGGCTGGGGCTGCTGCTCTGTCCTGGCTGAGGAGGGCCACCTGCTTTGAGTAGGACTATAGCACCACCTTGTGGTGATTCTTGGAATCAGGCTCGCATAACCGAGCAGAATTTTTCCGTCATTGATGACAGTGCCCACCCCGAGGTGAGATGTCCGGGCTTGATGACGTACTTTGAGTCCCCACAGTGGACCTGCGGGGAACTTAACTTTCATGGAGTCCTGACGAAATTAGTTTCACTTTGTTTCTTTACATTCACACAGCCATTATTGAGCACCCGTTGCTGAATGTGAGGTGTGAGACAAAAGCAGAGAGTGTCCCATGGGCTGTGTTAGGAGCAGGCTGACTCGCATTACTCTGTGATGGGAGCCGAGGTGGCCGTGGAAGGCTTGCCTGCAGGAGGTGGCACTGCACGGGAGCTGCAGGATGAATAGGAGTGAGCTCCACTGGTGGCGGTGCCCTGGGTGCCTCCGTTCTGGAGGACAGGTGTAAGCTGTGCGCACTCTGTCCCACAGTAGTGCATACTTAGAACTGCGCAGAGTCATGCGGGGTGGCTGTGCGCATCACAGCGTCATTTGTAGTAGAGAGAAGTTAGAGCCAGTGCTATGCCTGGGGTGGAGAGGTCGCTCTCTGCCCACGCTGGGGCATTGATCTGAGTCATTGGCATGGCCAGCCTGGGAAGCTGAAGTGCTGAGAAAGCAGGTCCCACACACCGTGCACACTCATGAGGCCTGGGTGGAATGACATCATGATGGCCAGTGACCCAGGCACCCTGGGGGCCAATGGGTAGCGAGTGGGCTACAGGCTGATATCTGTTCTGGCCTGGCCCTCCTGCCAGGCTCTGCGGCCAGCTGGCCTTCAGAATACCGCCATAATAGTCACTTACGTATCATCTGTTTTCCCAAAGGTGAGTAACCCTCTGTGCCCTTCACTCCCCAGCATGAGTCAAGACACTGAAGTTAGAAAACGGATCACGGGTGGAGGTCTTCAAGGAACCCAGGCTGCCTTCCCCACCAAGGGAGAGCCGTCCCCACCCAAGGAGGAGGAGGAGCAGGGGCCGACACCAACTCCCTGGAAACCCTTCCTGGTCAATGTGTGCATGGCCACGGTCCTCACAGCTGGCGCATACCTCTGCTACAGGGTGTGTTTTCACTGACAGACATGCTGGTGAGAGCGCGAAGGGAGCACTGGCTGCTGGCCCAGTGTTAGGATTCGGTTCTGTGGAGCATCTGAGCCAGTCTCAGAAGAAACAGATCCCAGGTTCTAAAGTCTGGAACTGTGGAAGGGCTACCCAGAGAGAATTGAGGATTGATGCACTGGGGTTTTAAGGAGCCCTGTGGTCCCAAGAATAAAAGTCTAAACTCAGGGCCTTAACCTATTCAGGAGGAAGTAGAAAAAAACAATGCCAAATAAGTATGTCTCTCTGTTTGTCTCTCTCTCTTTCTCTCTTTCTCTTTCTCTCTTCTCCCCCCCTCCCCCGCTCCCTCTCTCCTTCTCTTTCTCCTCTCTTCTCTCTGCTTCTCTCTCTCGTTCATTTGTTTTGGGGGAAAAAACAGAATTACAACACATTGTTGTTTTTAACCTTTATAAAAAAAAGCAGCTTTTTGTTACTTCTGGACAAGAGAAAACTAGGCACCTCTGAAACTTTCTTGTACCCTAGGTGATGTAATCAGATACACAGTTTATATTTTATTTCCCAGGGAAAAAAACCCACACTTTCACGAATGTAACTGCTTTGAAGCAGAGGGTTAGGACACTGCCATGTTCAGGCACTTGCTGGCTGCACGCACCTGAGCTAGTCAATGCCTGCGCTTCCGGTTCTGAGCAGAGGAACAACACAAGGCCATCTCTAGAGAGCAGACCTGGCTTCCACTTTGACTCAGGATGTCCCTGTTGGTTTTCCATTGCTCAGTTCTCCACCCACTCCTCCTTGTGACAGCCATCTTGCTCACACACCAGCCCTCATCATCCCATCCCTGCAGAGGGTTTCCTGGAGGGCCCTGCCTCAGAATTGGGGTCACCACAGGGTGGCCACTGGCATTTTACCCCATGGTTTCCACTCCATTTGGAAAATAAGTGCCACTGCAATAGAAGTGCACACAGTAGATATGCACTGCTCCTAAAGGAAGGTGGGTAGACAGGCTCAGAAACCATGGAAACCCCTTCACAAGACTGGTCACACTTTCAAATGTTTTACCTCTTTCCAGGAGACCCATTTTTAAGTACATCAGGTAGTTTAGCAAAATGTAAACATTTTTTTCCTTAGGGGTGATTTTTTATGAAGGAGCTGTCATTTAAAACACACACAGACACACACAGACACACAGACACACACACACACACACACACACACACACACACACACACACACACACACACACACACACACACACACACACACACACACACAGAGCCAAGCGCTGGTGGCTCACGCTTGTAATCCTAGCTATTTGAGAGTTTGAGATCAGGAGGATCTCAGTTCAAGGCCAGCCTAGGCAAATAGTTCTCAAGACCCTATCTCCAAAATAATCAGAGCAAAATGGAGTGGAGGTGTGGCTCAGGCGGTAGAGCACCTGCAAAGCCCTGAGTTCAAACCCAGTGAAAAAAAACCCATAAACCCACCCTTGCCTGGTGGTCCCCTTGGAGGTGGGTATGGCCTGTCCTGTGTGGGTCGGGGCTCATCTGAGATGTTGGGTTCCATTCCAGTTCCTGCTCAACAGCAGTGCGTAATCTGATCTCCTCCATCCTCCTCCATCCTCTGTCCACCTCTGCCCGCAGAGCCCACCGACTAGCAGGCAGGCTGTGGTAGGTAAGGGCCACTGGCCAGCGCAGAGAGAGAGCCTGGAAGGACACTTGTCTACTCTAGCCACCCTTCTGGGCTGTGTCTCCCCACTTCTTCTATCCCCACCCCCCACCTTCCTTTCAGCACCAAATCCACAACCGTTTTGAGGAGAGGCCTAGAGAGAAGCGTTGGCCTACTCCAGTTCCAGGCTTGCCACCAACCACTGCTTTGTGCTGCACCCAGGTGGCAGCACCCTGAAATCCTCCTGGCAACCTCCGTGTGGCCTGCATGAAGTAAGCTTCTCTGCTCTGTAACTTATTTTTAATGTTTTCCCTGAGGCATCTGCGCTGTGCTAGCATTTCCTTAAACCCGTAATGTATTAAGCGTCAGTGGCAGCCTTGCATCGGCTTTATCAAGCAGGACGCTAACATCTACATCCTCAGGTGTGCGGGTGCACAGGACGGCCGGGAGCGCTGCACTGGCCAGCGCTGGCGGGGAGGACCATTGTGAGCCGTTGTTAGGTAGTGATACCGGGCACCGCAGAAGATGGCAGAGTGGAATCCTGTGTAAAGAACACTTGGGTATTTAATGACATACATGATGTGAAATAGCTTCTTCCCAGTCCTCCTCCTCGTTCTGTGTCACGCTTTCCCTATGCATATTAGGATGCGTGTGGGTCTTCTGTGTCCTGATGACAAACCATGTGCTGGAAATGACCCTTGTTTACTGAGGTGCCGATGGCCAAGTCCATCCCCTGCATGAGCTGTTACGTGGCTGTGGTCCTAAGGCCTTGCTGAAGGAGTTGCCATTCAGCACGAGAGCAGGGGAGTTTTCCAGGAACGATTTATTGGCCTGATTCCTGACATGACACTGGTAATGTCCCGGTGAGGCCTGGCCTGGCCTAGGCCACCTGGGTCCCTCAGTAACTCAGACATTCCAGGGACATGATGACCACGTTCACGCTTCATGCTCTGGACAGCTAGGCGAGCAGGGCCCCCATCTTTGGGACCAGCCTCTCATTCCAAGTTCACGCCGTTCAGGGTTTGGAAGCAAGGCAGCTGTGGGAACCACCCCCTGGGAGCAACCCGGGTGACAGTCCTGAGAGTCAGCCTTTGCCATCTCCGTCCCGTTTCGTTTTGCCAAGAGGTGTGTCTGCACCCTTGAGACCTGTGGGGACTGATGGTGCTCACGACTCTTCCTGTGAGGAGAACTTAAGACCTCCACGTTCGGTGGCTTTTTAACCAGAGAAAAGGCAGCTGCAGCCCCCGAGCTGCTCTTTGCCAGCATTTTCACGTTTTTGCCTTTCACGTGGAGCAGCCAGCACCAAGCAACTCTGGCAGGAACACTTGAGGCGCCATGCACAGAGCCTTGTGAGGTGCGGGTACGCCTTAGGTGCCAGGCTGTGAGCATTTTGGCATTGGGCTTGTTTTTCCAAAGTCCCCATCTGTGTTAGTAGTAGGGTGTGTATACAGTAGCCTTCAAATGGATGTGCTGGTTAACCCAGTCCTTGGAGAGCAGGTGACCTCATCCTGTCACACGTATGCTAGAGAGGGAGCAAGCTGCTCTGCTATATGCCTTAAGCCAGAAGTTACTCATCAGGTCGTTATTTTTACAATGGCCATGGAATAAACCATTTTTACAAAAATCAAAACAAGAGAAAGTGAGGTGTTTCGGTATAACACCTTTCCAGGTGTCTGTATATTGGGGTGCATGCCCGGGTGGGGGACATGTCTCAGGGTCTTCTCTGACCTCACATAACTGTCAACTGTACAGTTTTCCAACTTGCCATATATGATGGGTTTGCATTTTAGTTGCAATAAAGTTTTTTTTCTAAAGAACATGGGTATTGAGTGCTTCCCGTCTCTTTGCTTAATGGACCTGAACCAGGGCAGGCAACTCTTTGTTTCCATCCCTGCCTATGTGAAGCAGGTGGGGTCCATCAAGGGGAATCAGCGTGCTCTGAGTGCCAGAGGCTGGCAGGTCTGCCTTCTCCCGCTGGGGAGCTTGTTTACCCTGGTCCTTCAGAAAACCTGCCCTCGGGCCCTCTACAATCCTTACCAGGACTCACAGAAGTTGCTAGAAGAACTGTTCTAGCCCCAGAACCGCCCGTTATCCTGTTGCCTGTCAGTCTTAGTCTCAGTAAACTCACAGTTGATGTAGAATTGATTTAGAAATGAAAATGAGGACAAGAAAATGAATAGTCTTGTCTTCTGTGTACAAATGAAACAGTGTCAGTCCCCTGAAGTGATTTTTTGACTTTGTTTTGGAGTACTCTCAGACTCCAGGGTTGGAACAATAGTGAAGCACTGCCTCCCAGCCTTCAGGTTCTGTGACTGACCACTTCCAAGTTGGCTGGGGAGTGGGAAACAAATACAGGCTATGCTCTTGGGGACACAAGATGTCCCCAGAATCCTGCACCTCAGTGGGACCGTGACACCCACCGTCCCACTTCCAAGTCTCAGATAGGAACAGTGGTACCTAAGCCGTCAAGAAGAGGTGGAACACCAGTGCGGAAGAATACCTGTTTGTAACTTTGGGACTTGAATCCAGTTGGGCAAAGGGCTAACCAGAGTCCTTACCCAGGGTGTCTGCGTGGTAGAGAACCCCTGGGGCAGCGTCCCTGGGAGCCCAGCACTGGAGGCACCCTTCTCTGTCCTCACCCATGTCCTTGGGGACAGCACCAGGGGCAACAGGCCCCACTCCTGGACAACTGTCTGGGAAAACAGTCATTGTGAACTTTGGGGAGTAAAGTGAAGTATCCATCGAGATCTTTTTTTTTTTTTAATGGAAATTTCAGAACATGGGAGTAGGAATAAAAAATAAATACTGAGTTAAGCCCAGAAAGCACACAGTGCACATACAGCAAGTTTAAATGCAGACGTATAAGGCCATTGCTGATGGCAATGGCTGGACCCCATGTTAGCTCAGCATTAGCACAGAGACCTAGGGACAGCCGTTGTGCTTTGTTTTTAGCCCACCTAAACAGGAGACATCTGTTTCCGTAAAACGATGCACTCTATGCTGGACTCTGCCTTCAAACCAGTGATGGCTTCCCAAGCATTCATGCTACATGTCTTGGCCAGCTTATTTTGGAAACTGGAGTTCATGTTGATTTGTGTGGCCAGAGCACATGGTTTCCCTGCCTGCGATGCTTCGGGCTCCTTGCCGAGTCTTTCCTTCTTTGTGCCATGGAACATGGAAATAAGGCTGTGGCCAGCTGGCTGCTGCGGCTCCACTGGCATTTTGGCTGCAGCTTGGGTTAAAAGTGTGGCTCATAGAAACCCTGGCTTTGAGCCTCCCACCGTCCCCTGCTCTCCAAGGTGACAGCTAGCTGCTGTTGAAATGATTCAAGCCACTGCTGCCTTTCATTAGCAGGCCTCCTTGGCCCCAGGATTTATTGAAGCAAGCATGCTGAGCCAGGGCAGTGACGTGCAGGGGACTTACGTTCCACACACTCGTCTGTCCTGGAACATTTATTTATGCAGGGCCTCAACTTGCCTGGCCACAGCCCTGTGTACGTGGCTGGCTGGCATTGAACCGGCTCTATACCATGGCATGGCCACACAGACACTCAGAGACGGTGCTCAGCGAAGGCTGCACATCTCCGAGTGCCATGCGTCGTCACCTTTTCCTGCTCTGCAAAAGCACCGCTCATGCCCCGAGGCTTTGTAACGTGCCCTGAAAGGCTGGTGCACACTTGTGGGGGAGCACCCAGTGTGCTCCACCCAAACTTCAGGCACTGTGTGGAGGCTGGGAAGCAGCAAGAAAGAAAGACACATGAGATTTGAGCTTATCAGCTGAGACTTTTCAAAATATTGTGATTTCAACATCTGCCTCCTGGCAAAAGACCTCCCTTTGTTCTGAGTGATGTTTATCCATCTTCTCAAAAGCTAAGCGTCCTTTTTCACCTGAAACAGAAAAGCGATTCATCACTGGGCTGGCTCCCACCTCGCTATCCAGCTCTGCTAGGCCAGAGTGGCTTGAGGGCTTAGACACACGGAGCTGGGTATCTGTAATGCAGCAGAGCTGGGGCTTTTGGGGAGCCTCCACTGAGTGATGGACTGAGCCTCATCCCAACACCTTGGGGTGGTCTGCCTGTGATGGGGTCTTCCAAACTGTAGGCCCGCCTCACCTCTGGCTTTCATTTGCCCAAGGTCATAAAACAAGTTTAAGAAGAAAATAAAACACTTTGGCCACTCTGCTGTGAGGGAAACCTGCCCTGCAGTTGCCTGTGAGTGAGGAGTTGACCTGTGGAGGGCCTAGAACCATGCCTGCCCATGCTGCTCTGCTCTGCGGTGCTGAGAGCCATGTATGGCCTCACGCACATCTCCACTAGGGATCCCAAGGACCCCACTGCATTGCACACAACCCTTGACTGCTTTACCAAAGGACAGTGTGGCTTCCCGTGCTGTCACTCTCACGGCCTCCAGGTCGGACTGGCACAGGCTGGCAATCTGATCGACACTTTCTATACCCTGTTAGAAGTTGGGATGACAAGGTTCATTAGGGATCTTGTATTCTTGTTTTGTTGAGACAGCATCATGTTATGCACCCCAGGCTGGCTTCAAACTGTTAATTCCCCTGCCTCAGCCTCCCAAAGGCAGGGATTACAGGCATGAGCCACCACCCTGACACCTGGCTTCAGGGGTCAGTCCTGCAAAATCAGCCCTAGCATGGCCTATGGGTCCTTGGCCTCTTTTCTAGAGGCCTCAGGCTTCTTAGGTTGACCATGGGTTCATCAGAAGTGCCTTTGGAAGTCTGTCTTCAGCTCGATACCTCAAGCGAAGCCATTAGTAGAGCTTGTCTCTGGACACCTTGTGAAAACGAGGAGCCTTGCTTCCTCTGGACCTTGCCACCATCTGGCACTCTGACCCCACCCTCCAGCAGCTGGCCCCCTGATTCTGGTGTAGCCACAGGCTTCTCTCCTGCAGCCAGCACCTCTGGTCCTGCAGCACCCCCTTCTGGGTTCCCACCTGCCTGGGTACCTGAGCATATGCAGGGCTCCTCCTGGGATGTTCTCTTGGTTCATACCAGCATGAATGGGGCTGGCCACTTTTATCTGTATTGAACTCTCAACTCGCAAGGGAAACTGATGTTTTTAAATGAGAATCTACAGTGCAGACGGGTGGGGGTAAAGCAGGCAGCCCCTCCTGTCTGAGGGAGTGCAGGTGGGAGGGCGAGAGGTGTCAAAGACACCTCTTACCTGGAATAAGGGGGCGGGGGGTCTAGCCTGGGACAGTAAGTCAGGACTCCCGAGTTGAAGCAAACCCTTAGTAGGTGCTGGGGGGCTCTTCTCCAAAACCACTTCTTAAGCCCTCTTGCTAGTGGGGAATCTACTTTTTGGTCCTAGTGAAGTCATTTTGAAGTTCATTACTTAAGCACTAACCACAGCTGGTGCCTGTCAGTCACAAGCAAGGACATGTCTAACTCACCCTGAGCTGCTGGAGCGCCACACATGCAGCCTGTTGGAGCTTTGCGTCGCTCTCCATCAGGGCATTGGTGTAAAACAGGAGAGCCTGGGAGGCAGGATAAGGGACAGTGAGCAGGGGCAAGCAGGATGTTGTCATTGAGTCAGGCCCTCCTCGCCTTCTCTAAATCAAACTCTGGAAGGGGCCTGTCGATCTTTGGGCCAGGCACACCATCCCAAGATGGATGCCGCAGGGTTTAATTGATTCCCACAAACTGAGTCTGGGGTTGGTGGTAATAAAATGGAGAAAGCCTTTTGTCTGATAGTGCCTCAGAAAGGCATTGAAACTTTGTCAAATTGCCCACTCAGAAATCACGTGATCAGCTCAGCATGAGAGCAACTGAAACTACAGAGAGGCAAGGTGTCCTCGCAGGCTGAGAACAGTGAGCCCACTCTCAGGCCAGAAGGCAAAATCCTGTCTCTTCCCCTCCACACTTTGCAGTCACAGCTCTGATTCTGCCCCTTGAGTGATCGGTGCACAGCCCCATCACTGCACCCCCTTGACCTAACAGTAGAGCCAGCTTGCTTCACAGTGTTGGGAGGTCACTGAGAAATCAGGATGCCCAAGGGCCTCCCGAAAGGGAGAACAGAGACTGACGTTGACTCCACTCTTGGGCCAGTAGTTACATCACCCATTGCAAGGTGAGGGGGGATGGTCCAGGGGCAGAATTGGCCTATGCATGGGCACACATTGTTCTGTCTGGTTTTGCTTATCTTCAAAAGTCTCCAAATAGAGTGCTTAAAGCAAGCACAGGGTGAGTATGTGTGCTCCATGGACTGTTAGCAGTGCAACTGGAGACGTCCTCTCTGGCCTGGAGCTGAGACCAAGCATAGAGTGTGGCCCCAATGTTACCCTTCCCCCACCCACCTCAGGGTCTGCTGCCTGGAGTGTGTAATAGATCTGGGATCCCAGTGGCTGGAACACAGTAAACCATTACCAGCCAGTCCGAGAATTCACTGAAGGCAAATGAGGACCATCAGAACAGGACACCTCAGAGAGCACACTTAGAAAGTGAGGTGAGCAAAGTCGTGAGTTGTCACTCTGGTCGTGTGGCCCTTGGGTGGCCTGGAGGCCCCTGTCCAGATCCTCAAAGCATCTCTAAGACCAAACCTCATAGCGCACAGCCCCAGGCACCCACTCCATGCCTTTCCACCAGAGTGCACCTGCAGCCCATCCCACCCCCATACCTTTTCCCGGAAGCTTCTGTGCCTGGCAGCGCCAGCCAGGCGGGCAGTGGCTGCCCTGCACACCTTCGGGGGCCCATCCAGTTGCAGCAGCGCCCAGGCTCGCAGGGTCTGTGGCAGGGGTTGGAGCCGGCCCAGCCGCTTGCCCTTCAGCTTCCTGACAGCTCTGGCCTGCCCCTCACAGCTCAGCTCCTCCACAAGTGTGACTGCAAGACAGAGGAGTGGGTTCCACTTCGGGGCTGGCCCCTGGATGCAGGGAGCAGAGAAGCAGCTGCCACAGGTGGGGTCACCAAGGCCCTGTCAACAGGCCTCGAAGGGGGTCCCCTAGAGTCTGGGGTGGCTTTCTAAGAAGGGATCAGACTCACCGTGAAAATTCGTGAAACCACAGTCTAAACTCCCAGGTTCTGACTAACTGGGCGTGACCTGCCTCCCCAGCTGTGACCTGTGCTCCATGCTTTGCTTTTCTCAGGTTTTCTAAGATTCTTTCCCCTTGGAGCTAATTCCCTATCAGCTGCATGTGAAGTCTAATTAAATCTTGGTTCTCAGCACAGCAGCTGGAGGGAAGGGACAATGACTCTGAACAGTGATCTGAGCACTGACTGACTTCCGAGACTGGGACAGAGTCCCCAGGACACCCCTCTACTGTGATGCAGCCCCTGCTCAGTCCCTACCTTCCTTGGTGAGCTGGGCCAGGTGCTTCTCCAGGTCAGAGATGCTGTGCTTTTGCAGGTAGCAGTGAAACTGGAACCAGGTGACAGTCTGTTCCTCAGGAAACCCAGCTGTATGGAGCAGCCCACTGCAGCTGATGACCTGCTCCAGGAGCCTACGACACACTGGCCAGAGAGAGGGCTGTGAGGGGAAACCGAGGCCTCGGCTGCTGTGGGCAGAGTCGGGTCTGATGAAAGGATTTCTAATGGCAGCCCCAAGCAGCCATGAAGGAAGTGACTGACGACAGGCCACAGGCCTGGAGAGACTGGGGAGGTGTCAGGGCAGCTCAGTTCCCTAGGTCCCACTGCACTGGACGCTGAGTCCCAGAGGCCCAGCCCGGGAAGATCCGCATCAGTAAGCAGCCCATAGGCGGGGAATTTGAGACTTCCAGAGTCACTGCCTGCACTGCTGCTGTCACCCTCACTTGCTCAACAGAGAAAAATGCCATGGCTGTGCCCTTGGGGCAAGTCCAGCCAGCACCCTGCGTGGCCTTTTGCCTGCCTATCTCTCATCAGTCATCCTTGACTTCTGTAAGGCTGGGGGAGGGGTGGTGGAGGCAGGGACAGTGTCCCCAGGGAAGTGCAACAGCCAGCCAGGGTTTGCATGTACTTGGGGTGGTGGGATTCGCAGCCTGCTCAGAAGGGCATCTTGGGAGGGGCCTCAGCTCAACACTGTAGACCCTCACAGAGGGCTCCAATAAGGTCTCTGTCACAGTGCCACCCGAGCCCCATGTAGCCTTTCTGGGGGATGAAGCAGGAGGGGACGCACCTATCTCCAGCTGGCCTGGGTACTTCCCTCGCACTCGGTGCAGAAACATCTTCTTGAGCTGGCTCAGGAGTGTGGTGGCAGAGCACGACAACATGCCACCCGACTGTGTGCAGCCCTGCCACAGTGGCAGTCCGCCCTTCCGGCACCAGGCCTGCGGGATGACTGGGAGCAGGATCAGAAGCCTGAGGCTGGGTGAGAGCCAGCCACAGGCGCCAAAGACTTCCCTTCCATGAGGATCTGAGAGGCTTGGGGAGTCAAAGGCTCCCTGACCTAATGCAGGACCCTTCTGTGTGCCCATGTGACAGAACAAGCAGCCTCGACTCCAAGCACCTATGTGGGCCACACCTGCAGTCCTTATAACACCTCTGGAGTAGCTGCTGACCCCAGCCCTGCTGATAGATGAGGAGTCTGGGCTTCCTAGAAGGGTATCCACAGAAGCAGAGGCAGAATGGTCACAGCCACTGCTTCTTGGAGGGCACACTGTGCACCCTGCTGTGACCAGGGATGACCTCATTGAACCCTAGGCAACAGCCACCCCATAAACAGAGGGAGTGTGTGTCTCTCATCCCCCCAGCCACTCTCTCCATCCAGGGCTGCCATCAACTTTGGGTGTGGGGGAGGGGCTCTGATCTCTGTGGCCCCGTGCCATTCACACAGCGCGGTTACTTACTTTCTTCAATGGATGTGGCCCTGCTGACCTTCTCAAAGTCAAGGTCAGAAAGCACCTCCAGAACCTGCTTCTGCTGTGCTGCCTCTTCGAGAAGGCAGTCCAGGACCATCGTCGGCAGGTTGGGGGAGGCCAGTTTCTAGAAGTATCCACAGTGTTCCAGGTTAGCCTCGTACGCCCTCCAGGCTAAGTGATTGTGCTGGGACTCCCTGCTCTCCATGCCCACCCCGTCTACTCCAGAGGTAACCCCTTGACCGCCAACTGGGGATTCCCTTCACCGGGCTGAACTAGCAAGCTCACAGGCCCTGAGTTCAAACCCCAAGACCAGCAAATAAAAATAAAAGATAAGAATAAGAAAGGATGGGCATCAGTGTCTCACACCTGTAATCCTAGCTACTCAGGAGGTAGAGATCAGGAGGATCGTGATTTGAAGCCAGCCCAAGGCAAATAGTTCACCAGACCCTATCTCAAAAAATCCAATACAAAGCAGGGCTGGCAGAGTAGCTCAAGTGGTAGAACATCTGCCTAGCAAGCCTCAGCAAGCGTGAGGCCCTGAGTTCAAGACCCAGTACTGCAAAAGAAAAAAAGAGGCTGAGCCACTAGGGGCCACCTTTGCCAGAAAGTGCCAGGCCAGGCTGCCTGAAAATGCACTCAACTTGTTACCAAGCAGAGCAGAAAGAGGGAAAGACCTAGTCATGATGGCGTCTGCAGGGCCTGACACCCACCGCTGAGCTTTTCAATGAGCCAACGCTTCTTTTGGTTGAGACAGCCTGGGTTGGGGTCCTGGCATCTATAAATGAAAGCCACAGCCACAGGCTTTTGCTCAGGGCTCGGGCTGACAGGCCATGTGGCTCCTTGCCTAGAGCCTGGCCTGCACATTTCTGGAGGAGTCTTTGTCACAGCTCCTAGGATGCCGGCCTCTTGCCCTGACCCTACTCTTCACCTCCTTCAAGACCAGCCCCTCAGCAGGGGCAGTGGCTCACACCTGTAATCCTAGCTACACAGGAGGCAGAGATCAGGAGGATTGTGGTTCAAGGCCAGCCCGGCCAAAAGTTCATGAGAAACCCCCCATCTCAACCAATGACTGGGCGTGGTGGTGCACACCTATCATCACAGCTACATGGGGAACCACAGATGGAAGGATCATGGTTCATGCCAGCCCAGGGAATAAAGCAAGACCCTATCTCAAAAATAACCAATGCAAAAAGGGCTGGTGTAGCAACTCAAGTGGTAGAGAGCCTGCCTAGAAAGCATAAGGGCCTGAGTTCAAATCCCAATACTGATAAAGAAGACCAAAAGACAAGCCTCTTGAAGAGAGGACTCTGAATCCCCTGCCTGACCCCAGCATGCCCTGTGCCCCGCCCCAGCCACCTGTAGCAGGGCCTTGCAGACTTGGAGGTGGACAGTAAGCAGCACATCCAGCTCTGGGGTGCCGGCTGTGAGCTCCCCTGGTGACACATTCAGTGACGTCAGAGGGGTCAGGTCCTTTCTGAGTTGGGTGGAGAAGAACTGGGTGACATTCGGCAAACAGTTCAGCTCCCTGTGAGGGCAGAGGAAGCCCTCCCTCCTCAGGGAGCCCCAGGTTCCAGGGAGACAAGAAAACCGAGAACCAAGGAAGGAAGCGAAAGTGGCCACAACTCAACACGTGCTGGGATAGAGGAGTTCCCTAAGTTGTCCCACCTGAGTGAGAAGCCAGAGATCCAGACTAACCCCAGCTCTGTGACCCTGGCACTGCTGCCCTCCACCTCAGTTTGCTTATCTGTGAAGTGGGCAGGAAGCCTGGGCTTAGGGCCAAAGGTAGGAGTGAGAACTGCCAGCCTGGTACCTGGCACACTAGGCAGGGCTGAACTCAAGTGAGGCCAAGGCTATGAACGGCACAGCGGGGCAGCAGACCCCAGATGCTGCTGGGGGTGAGGTGCCTTCCCCCAGATCGCAGAGGAGAGGGAAAGGAGGGATTGAGGCTGCTGTTGAGCGTTGCTGAGGTCTAGGGACAGGAGAGGGAGGCCCTCAGGACTGGTGGTGGGTTGATGGTGTGCCCGTGTACATGGGATGGTGGACCAGAGCGAAGAGGAGTGGTGACTGGGGAACTCTGGTTACTGGCACATTGGAGAGATCATGATCATAGAGGTTCTGCTGTCTCCTCTGAGGCTGTTTGTAGACATTTTTGAAACCCCATCCTTGGAGCAGGAGGCTCAGGTGGCAGGAGGGTCTCAGTGGGCATGGAGGCCTGCTCTGTGTCAGGCAGTGGGCATGAGGGTGGGGGAGGGTGCAGCATTCGTAATCGAAGTGAATGCGAATGGGCCAAGGGGGACAGCAGGAGCAGGCCATGAGGCCAGTGGCCCCGGATCAGCGCTGGGGTGCACTCACCGGGGACCCTGGGAGTCCGAGAACAGGGACAGGTCCTCAGAGGCGAGGTCCGCGTGGAGGAAGGCGAAGCTCTCCAGGATGCAGTCCATGAGGCTCTGGGTGGACGCACGCACCCTCCTCACTCCACGGGGCTGTGGATGAGTGTCAGATCTCAGGGCAGCGCCCGCCCTCCCGCCTAGGATGCCACCAGGGGCCTCTCTGCAGCCTAACAGGGTCCTGGCCACAGCCCCAGTCCCACGCACCCAAGCCAGCAGCGCCAACCAGCCGATGGCTCGAATCCAGGCAGGGTGCACCCAGGGCGTGGCACGTCCCACCTTCCCTCCTCCAGAATGGCCTGCAGTGAGGCGTGGAGCAAAATCTCAATGGACACAGGTCTGAAAACCTCGCGTGGTCCTTAGTCCCCATAGGACAGGACAAATGGCAAGAGTGAGTGCGTAAGCAGTCCAGGTGGAGACCGTGGAGAGCAGGTCCTCGGCACAAGGAGCCCCCACTCAACTCTTGTGACCATTGCCTTGTGAGGATATGACCCTGTGCTGCTGAATCATTCTTGCTCTTTCTTTTCTTTTTTTTTTTTTTTTTTTGGTACTGGGATTTGAACTCAGGGCCTGATGCTTGGTAGGCAGGCACCTTACCACTTGAGCCACTCGGCCAGTTCCCCATCCAGTTTTTTAATAGCAAGAAATTTCAAACTTTTTTTAAATGTGATGGAGGCCAGGCCTAGCACCCTCGGGAGCTGCAGGGAGCCCCCATCTCTTCTCCAGGGAACTGTGGCAGAAGAAGCTGTGAGAGCCACCTCCTGCCACTGCCACTGTTGAGTCATCGGAGCCTCCCAGCGACAGCCCCTGTCCTGGAGACTCTGTCTTTTTGTCTCTAACCTGTGGCCGACGCCAGGGCTGAATGCTGGCCTCTCCTGCACACGCAGACCTCACCCCCACAAACTCCACAGAGGCTGTAGCCAGACCTGGTCCTAACAGTTGACCCCACAGAGAAAAACCCTGAGCAATGGCAGGGTAATAAAGCCACCTGTACAAGATTTCACTTCCCGCTAGAGTAAAAATGTACTCGTATTTATGTGTGTGTGCCTGTGTGCGTGTACACACGCTGACGTAGCTGCTGCAGCTTCTTGCTCCTCGAGGGAGTTAGAGTCTGTGAAGTCACAACAAAACACTGAAGTGGTGAACACTGAGCCATGGCACCTAGAGGCGATACTAGACTAGGTCCCTGCAAACTCCCAGTCCCCCCATTTTCATCAGTCAGTTGGTTAGAACTTCGTGCGTGCATTTCTGTTTACTAGATGTCATTGGTATATTAACCTCGAACTCATGACCAACAGCTCTTAACTCCTGCCTAAAAGAAATCACTTAACATAAATTTTCTCCATCAGACACACCCAGCTGTGCACCAGGGAAGGCGAGCAGCCCCACACTGCAGCTCTGCACATGGGGCCATTTACACAGCAACACTGCTGACAAAGGGCACAGAAATTTGAAAAATATGACACTAGATGAACCATGAACAGGACACTCGCTTGCAGGAAGAGAGCTAAGTAAGAAGGTAGAGTGTCACCTTGTGTGACCTCAGCTGAGGCTATGCATAGTCAATGATTTCAGACATGACTGTGCCTGGAGTATTGGTGCAAGGGTTCCAAATAAATTGGAGCAAGAGGGTGCACTCCAACGTGCACAATCCATGAGGAATGAGGACAACTCTGTGTGGTGTGTGGTGTGGTGTGAGTGTGTGTGTGTGTGTGTGTGTGTATCTATATAACACACGCATTTGTGTGTGTACATCTGAATGTGTATAAGTGATCCAGGAGTGGATGCTAATGCCTGTAATCTCTCTATTCAGGAGGCTGAGACAGGAGGATCACAAATTTGAGGCCAGTCTGGGCTACATAATGAGTTGAGACCCTGTCTAAAAGTAAAGTGTGTAAATGAGTCTGTGAGTAATTTCTTTTTAGAAAGTCAGACTAAGCGAGGCACAGTGGCTCACACCTGTCAATCCAGCTCCTCAGGAGGCAGAGATCAGGAGGATCTCAGTTTGAGGCCAAGCAAGCAAGGGAGATTCCCCATCTCAACCAACAAGCTGTGTGTCCTGTCATCCCAATTACAGGAAGGCATAGACAGAAGGACTGGGGTGCGAGGCTGGCCAGACCCCACCCAAAAATAATACAAGAAAAAAAGATGGGCTGGGTGCAGTTCAAGTGATAGAGCCCTTACCTAGCAAGCTCCAGGCCCTGAGTTCAAAAACTCTAGTACCACAGAAGGCGGGAACAAGGGACTAAAACCAAGCACCTGTAATGTTTATTACTATTTGTTTTGCCAAAAAAGAAAAGTTCCTCAAAGAAATTACTGAATTATCTATTTTAAGATTTTTATGTAAAGTAGGTACGATTTTTCAAAGCACAGATATGAGACAAGGGTTGTATACATACTGACTCACACTTTCCACACACAGTAACTTTAAAAGTGCAAAAAAAAAAAAAGGTGACATTAGTTCTTGAATTCTTTCTCTTGAAATATTTAGGCAGGTCCTTTTTAAAAGACAGAAGGGGTGGTAAGCAGTGAATTGTTTTGTTAGCAGATGTAAAATGAGCATGGAGATTCCCTGTCACCTGTGCTGATTTGTCACACCGAGGTGGGGGGTAAAAGAAGTATAATCATTTCTGAAGACAGCTGCTGGGTGGTCCTGGGCCAGTGTGTTTTACACAAAAGAGAGCTTTCAGAGACAAACTGAGGTGTCAGTGGATGCAGGCGACACCCATTTTATTTTATGTACATTTCACTCGTGTACACAGAAAGGTAGAATTACCTGTCCAGTTGGCCCCTCTGGGAGCCACCCAGGCCTCCCCTCCGCCCGTGAATGAGGATGGCATGTGCTGTGCCGAGGAGAAGGTCCTGGGTGGGTGCGTGGGTGGGTGAGGCTGGCAGGTGGCCAGCTCTGTCCCTGAGTGTGGATGTTTAACCCCAAGTGGCAGCCCAGCCACACAGATCAGAAGACTCGAGATGGGGCCAGGTTCTGGCCAGATGTGGAGCAAGTCATCCACAGTGAGCCCCGGCCTCCCCTTATAACCCTCCTCCCTGCCCAGGGAAGACTGTTCTTATCCCCTTTTGACAGATGAGGAAACTGAGGCACAGAGGGAGACTGCCCACCAGGGTGGCACTGAGGTGAGGCTTGGGTGGAGCCCCCGGGCCCACTCCCAGCTGCCATGCCATGGAGGCTGGGCCACCTGGCAGAGGGGGTGCGTACCTTCAGCCGGTCCCTGAAGCCGAGGACCTGGTTCTCCAGCTCCCGGAGCTGAGGCTGAGCTGGGCCCAGGGACCTCAGCAGTTCCAGGACCTCCTGCAGGGGCCTCTCAGGGCCCCTGGAGGGCCACTCCGCTCCGTCCCCACCTTCGCCTTCCTCCTGGCCCTTCTGACTCCGTGGGATGGTGCAGTTGTGGAACACAGGGCCCCGCGGCAGGGCAGGGCTCTCCACCCCCAAGTCCCTCCAGCCAGGCCGTTCCATGACAGGCCCCCCCGCCAGGAGGGTCATCTCTGGCAGCAGGCCCAGGGGCGGGGGGTCCTCCCGGGCCTCCTCTTCAATGGAAGCAGTGGAGCCCACAGCCAAGGGCAGGAAGCCCACGTCTGAGGTGGACGCCGACGTGCTGGTCTCTGTGTCTCGGGGGTCCTCTGAGCTGAAGGAGTCCATCTCCGGCAGCTCCTGACTCCGGCTGTGCAGGTCAGGGCCCTGGAGGTCACTGCTGGACAAGTAGCTGAGGATGGAGGTGGTCCTCCGCCCAGCTGGCAGTGCCTGCTGCGGTGGCTGCTGCAGGACAGACTGGAAGGGACACAGGAGCTGCTCACCTGCCACCCATGGACCACTCTCAACACCCACATGCCCGGGATGAGGAGACCCTGTCACTTCGGTACCTTTGTGTCCCATCATTCCCTCTAACTCGTCTCCCTCCAGAAAAAGCACCCTTGTTTCTCACGCCCTCCAGCTGCTTCATGCACTTCTGCCTCAGGACCATGTCACTGACTGTTCTCTGCCTGGACCATCCCTCCATACACACCTTCATCTCTTCAGGTCCTTACTGAAATGCCACCTGTTCTGGGAACCTGTCCCAGGACAGCCTATTTTAAACAGCAAGTCCCCTGCCCCACCCCCCCCCCTATTTTTCAGTGGTTCTTCTGCCCCTCAGCTGGCTCTGTAGTTCCCTGATCTTGACATCGCCCATTTCCCAGTAGAATGTCAGCTTCCCAAGGACCCAGTTCTCGCCTGGCAGAGAGCAGAGCCCGGCAGTGTCGAGTGGGTGCAGCGAAGGACAGAATGCAGGGCCTGATTCTCGCAGTGTCTGCTGTCACAGAGACGACAGCAACCGTCACCAGTGGTCTGTGTTCACCTGCCCTGCTGTGTCCTTAGCACGCCCCATGAGGGGGTCACTGCTCTAACCTCTGATCCTCAGGCCCGCAGCAGAAGGGCAGGACCAGATGCAATCCTAGGTGCAGAGGCACTGCTCCCTGCTGTGTCCCGCCCTCCCCTCGCCAGCCAGCCCCGCGTCCTTTTAAGTAACTCAGTAAGCCTTTCCCGCCACAGTCCCATCATGGCAGTTCTGTTATTCTCATTGCTCTGATACAGAAACTGAAGTCCAAAGAGGCTGAGTGACCCTCTCATGGTCACATAGCCAGGGAGAGGCAGAGGCAGAACTTGAGCCTAGGCCATCGGACTGCCAAATCCAGGCTCTTGGCCATCGATGGTTTCTAACCCAAGTCTGCCGGGCCCCAACAGCACAGGTAAGAAAGTTGCTGCTACCTTCACAAGTTGCTGGATCATGTGAAGCCACCGTCCCTTCCCAATGCCTGGAGGGTGACAGGAGGTTCATCCAGTTCAGTGTCACCCTCCCCATGACCTGGGCAGGATGTCCTTACTTTTGCCTCTCTTACTTGCTGGGAGGGGACTGGTGTTTCCCACCTATTCCAGGGCCTCCCTTTGCCAATGCCCAGGCACTCCCACTCGTGTGGCTGGATGTGACAAGGCTGTCCACTACCCTGCTGCTGGCCACAGCAACACACCACAACGACCTCTGTGTCTTGGATTAACAACCTCACCACGTGTGGCCCACGTGCAGTGTGATGGAGAGAAAGCTCTCTGGAAGTGAGCAGCCAACTTCGTGGCTCAGGGGGAAAGGCTGCTGGGGATAAAGAGGGAGGAGCATGTGTAGATGGCAGAATGTCCCTGGAAGGACATGGGAGGAGGGACAGCAGAATGGCTCTAAGGGGATCCTGGTCCCTGGAGGCCACGGGAAAGAGAGATGCTTTGCTGCACGCTGTAACAAGTCATACTCCTGGAAACATTAAACCTAAAACAAGAAAGTGGAGCCCAGACCATGGCTGGGTGGCAGAACCTCCCGAGAGCCCTGCTCCAGGCATCAAGAAGAGCCAGTCACACCCAGGGCCAACTCCAGAGGCCTCAGAATGGAGGGCCCAGCGGCAGAGGAAGGGAAAGTGCTGCAGAGCCCCAAGATGGCTCGGTCCCTACTGCCCCAGTGTGACACTGTGTCCCTGTTGGGGAGGTTGACTCACCATGTAGTATCTCTCCCGGAAGCTGGGGGTGCTTGGGGGTGTCCAGCTGTATAAGGAGCCCTTCCTGCTGCCCATAGATATCTTGCCCGTGGGGCTGGGGGACATCAGGAGGCTCTCAGAATCGAAGGGGCTGCAGGAGAGAACAGAAGGCCGGTGTCTTCAGTGCCCAGGAGGCCACCTGGCTCAGATGGGATCCCGGGCTCTGCGGTTCCAGTTCCAGGTGGCTGTCTTCATCTTACAAAATCACCCTGATGTGCAAAGGGCTCTGCTAAATTCTTTACACGAGCCCTTCTTTCTGCTCTGAGATCATGAACCTTCTTGGCCAATGTGACACCGATAAGCAGAGACAGAACTGAATTCACACCTAGCTTTCTCGCACCCCGAAATCTTAAGATTATCAGAGTAGATCCTCCCTCTGCACACAACATTGGCTTGAGAGACCAGGGAATGAGGCTGGGTAGGGTCAGGCCTCGTCAAGGTCATAGCCAGCCCAAGGCTAAGTGGTACATGGGGACATGGCTGAAGCCAGGACTCCAAGGTTCCTTGGGCATTGGTGACCAGCAGGACTCTGGGTCCTGGAAAGGGCTGGCCTAGGCTGGACATCACTGAGCTACCCTGTCCTGCACACCCAAAGGCTCCCCAGGAGAGCCCCCAACCAGGCATTCAAAGTCCCTTCCCTCCAGCTGTGCCTTCCCTGGGGAGCAAGAAGGGAACTTCCTGGACACCCATGGTTTCATTTGGAAAAAAAAGGCTCTATTGCCTGCAACGGAAGCCTCTGGAGGCCACTAGTTACCCAGATGTGGTACAGTACAGAGCCCCAGCTAGTGGGGACTTTTCTCATGAACTTGGACCCAGGGGTCTGCAGCCCCAAGGGACTCGAGATGAGCGGGCAGCCAGGACTGGGAGGCAGACATAGCAGAGGGTCTTTTCCTCTGAGGAACCCAGCCAGGAGGCCACTGGAAGGTGTCCTGGCCTAGCCGGCTATAAGTGCCACCTTGTCCAGAAGTGAGACAGGAATTCAAATTCAGAGGGTGGGGCTGTGTGGGTGGCCAGGGATGCACACAGGGTCCCGCCTTGGCCTGGCTTTGGGGGCAGAAAGTGAGAATTGGCAAGAATGGCAAGGGTAGGACTGTCCCCAGTGCAGGCTGCTGTGGCTGGGCCATCAGGGGAGCAGATGGGACTCTCAGAAGGGCAGGGCTGGGCACAGCTGGCCATACTCACTTCCACAGCACCTCCAGCTGCAGCTTCACGGTGCCCAGCTCCGTGATGTCCACAACAATGACCTGCGGCCGCGTTGTGAAGAAGTCGGCGATGTCGCACGTCACAGCACCCACCGCCAGTGAGCTCAGGCCCCGCAGCTCTGTCACCTGGGAGTGGGGGCTGGAGGGTGGTGTCTGAGCCAGCACCCAGGGCGCCCTGGCCCCGCCCCAGACCCCACCCCACCTTGATCTCCAGGTTCTCATGCAGCATGGGCACAAAGGCCTTCTCCTCCTCGTCCCAGATCTGGCTGTCATCCGACTCGATCCGGCCCTTCAGCCTCCAGCGCTGGCGACCCAGGCGTATGACCACCTGCGGGCAAGGCCCAGCAAGGGGTGCACTGGCCACCTGGGTTGATCTCCCTCGCCACCTGCCCAGGGGCCTCCCTCCCAGACAGGACCTCAGCTGGGGCCATAGCTCCTAGCAGCTCCTACCCCAAGAAAGACTGGCTGGGACCCCGAGGACTGACCCAGGCGGCGGCCGTACCTCATACTGGTCTCCAGGACAGAGGCGTGCGTAGCCCACCAAGCCTGGAAACAGAAATGGGCTAGGCTCACCCCGCCCCTGCCCAGGGGTCCCTGGGGTCGCCCTGCTAGGTGTGTGTGGCAGCCTAGAGAGGACAAGCCATCATGATGGACAAGGGACAAACAGGAGGGTGCCTGGCCTCACACCTGAGGCTCGTAGGGGAGTGAGACTCGCCCAAGGTCACATGTCACACAAGTACAAAAACCAGGGCTGACCCTGGAGCCTGGGATTCTGGCCCACACCCCTGACCCTCAGCACAAGTCCCGGGGTCCCCAAGGTGACTCGACACCCCGCCCACACCAGCCTCAATCCACCAGCTCAGCCCTTACCTTTCATCCTGACGTGGAACTCGCCCAGGTGGACCTCCAGGGCCCCCTCGATGAGCCACATGTCCTGCAAAGCCCCACAGGTGACTCAGGCACTCACCAGTCCACCCCCAGCAGAAGCTCTGAGGCGGGGACAGGGAGAGGCCCAGGCCCCCACCTCGGTGCATTCGTGCAGGCTGCGGCCCAGCTCCTGCAGGCTGTCACGGGAGGCGCGGCTCGGCGGGCAGCTGGAGAAGGCCCGCTGCATGTTGGAGGCGCCATCGCGCAGCCGCCACTGGATGCAGTAGCCCTCGTAGAGCTCGTCCACCTGCCGGGAGCACAGGCTGTGGGCACCACCCAGAGGGACAGCCCAGATCGGCCTGCAGACTGCTCCCCCAAGAGGTGGTGCCAGCCCTGCCCCGTGGCACCCGCGGCTCTTGCCCTGCTCTATGTAATGAGAGCCCACAAGGACAGGGACCCCTTTGTACCCAGCACACGGACCAGCGCACACGCAGTGCACAGTGAAAACTTGTGAATGGGCCGCTTGCTTACACTTATAATCCCAGCAACTCGGGAAGTAGAGACTGGGAAGGTCGTGGTTCAAAGCCAGCAAGACAAAAAGTGAGACCCTCATCTTATTGTGAGACCAACAAGCCGGGTATGGTGGTGCATGCCTGTAATCCCAGCTATCTAGGAGGCCTAGGTAAGAGGACCAAGGTCTGAGGCCAGCTGAGCAAGGACGTGAGACCCTCTTTGAAAAATAACCTAAAACACAAAAAGGGCTGGGGAGTAGCTGAAGGGGTAGAGCATCCTGAGTCCAGACCTCAGTACCGACTGAAAGAAACAAAAAACTTCAGAATGTATCATTTCTCCTCTCTTCAACTGTGAAGCAAGGGCTGAGCTTGTGACAGGCTGCCCAACCTCCAATCAGGAAAGGTCGCAGACTTTGATAAGCCCTGACGGACTTGCTGCGTGACTGTGGGCAAATTCTTGTGCTCTGACCTCCACTTTCCCATCTGTGCAATGGGTGGTGGACCCAGCCCTCTGGCATGGAGTGTGAGGAAACAGCCCCACAGTTCTGGGGGAGCCTGGACAGCCCCTCACATTCGCCTCACGGCTGAGCCCAAGGCTGCCGCCTCTGCCAGCCCTGACACCCAGCTCCCTCCAGCTCCCCTTGCCTGTGCCCGAAGCTGACCTTGCTGATGCAGAACTCCACCTTCCGAATGTGCCTTTCCACTGAGCGCGTTTGCTTCTCCCAGGAAAAGAAAAGCTGCTTTAAAAATGGCCCGGGCCTTCCACCAGACCCTGCCGTCCCCCACTGGGTCCAGGTGAGCCTGGAGAGAGGCTCACCTGAGCCTCAGTTTCCCCACTTGCAACAAGAGGAAACCCAGGCATTCCCCAAAGAGCAGCGTTCTCACCAGCCAGGCCCAGCCTCAGCCCACCTTGCTGCTGCACTGGACACAGGAATTTACTCACCTTGTCTAGGTCGTAATAGAAAGCCTGCAGGAGAGAAAAGGAAGGAGGGAGAAGGTGTCAAAGTCCTGTGCACTCTGAGGCCTAAGTGGCTTCATTCCAGGGGCACTGAGCTCAGTCAGAGGACAAAAAGCCAGTTCCTGCAGCCAACGCACTCCACACGTGTGACTAAACACATGCCCTGTGGGTGAGGGCATTATAGATCTGGCTGCAAATTCCCAGCTGTGTGTCCTGAGCTACTTACTCAACCTCTCTGAGCCTCCATTTCTTCATATGTGAAAACAGACATCCACAGCAGCTACCCCACAGGGTGGCTTCAGGAGTAAAGGATTTAGCAGGCACTCAACACATGGGGCCCCATTTAAGGAATGACTCCAGCCATGCTGGCAGAGAGTGAGGGCTTGCGGTTGCTGCCCCACCGCCCCAGAACCAAGCCTTACACTCCTGTCCCCTGTGCAGGGGGCAGGGCCAGGGCCAGCCGAGCTTCCTGGGAGGCCCAGGCAGGGCTATGAATGAAGCCACAGGTGGCATGCAAATGAAGGGGCGTGGCCACCAGGCGTCATTCACAAATCTGCAGCTTGGAGACCATGGAGGAGAAAGGTAAGCTGTACTCTCCGGCCTCAATTTTATGTCAACTGCGTGTGTCTGAACACTTGCAGGATTACGCGACCAGCGAGGGAAAGGACCAGATGAGTGTGAGGCTGGGGGTCACCAGGTGGACAGAGACAGCTGGGGAGAAAGCGCCAGTTTACACGCGTACAATCACAAAACTCAGACTCTGAGACAAACAGGAAAGATCCCACGATGTTGAAAAGAGGGTGATTGTGTGGGATGCCTCAGAAAGTGGCACTGTGCCCAACTGAAGACCGGCAGCTTCCAGGGAAGGTGTGTGATTGGGGCTGTTGCCCTCCCCTGGCCTCAGTGAGCCCTTCTGCGCAATGGGAGCAACCAAGATATAACAACATATTCATACGTCACCGAGAAGGGGCAGGGCCCCGGTCCTCAGAACCCCGTGCTGGTGGGAAGGCGGGTGCTTGGAACAGGTGGGTCCCTGCAGCACCTCTGCCCAGCCACCCACCCAGGGTGGGGCTCGGAGCTCGCCAGGCCCTGCCTTCCCCACGTGGCTGGCACACATGTGAGGTTGGGGGTCTTGCAGCACCCGCCCTGCTGACCCCAGCTGTCCTCCACTGGTGCTGGCACATACAGCTGGCTGCATGCAACTTTGGTAGAAAATCTACTTTCTCTTCATTTTCCCAAGCCTCAATCGGCTGGACCAGCTGTGTCCCTCAGTGCTCTGGAGGACGGACCCCATCCACTGCCTGGCAGAAGCAGCCCTGCACAAGGCCAGGTGGAGCTCCCGCAGGGAAGAAGGAGTGACAGAAGAAGGCTGGAAAAGCTCCCAGCCTGGAAAGGGGGGTTCTCCCAATGGAGGGCCAAGACCCCAGCAGGGGCACCCTGGCAGCGCTACCTGACACAGTGCAGGCCACCAATTAGAATTCGTTCATCTGCCAGATAGTGAATAATTTTCAATATCACATGTCCCAAAGGTCACAGGGATATACTTATACTCAAAATTATTTGTCATTTGTCTGAAAATCAAATTTAACTGGACACCCTATTTTTTTGTTTTTGTTTTTATTTTGTTGCTAAATCTGACTTTGCAAGGATGGTAATAGCCCAGAGCAGGTCAGGGTGCAGGACCAGCCTCCAGGACCCTGAGCACTGGACACTGGGGACACACGGGCTTGTGGGCAGCATCAGGGCCACTGTGACACAGTGACGGCCCACTTGCCTGGATCACATAAGCCAGCCTGACTCCATGCCACCCAATGGCCAAGGTCTAGAGAACAAGACCATGTAAAACATGCACCTGTGCTCAGATGCCAACCTGGGTGTCACTTCTAGAACCAGGAGAGGAAGGCGGCACCCACCTGTGTGGCTAAACCCATCAGGTCACCCTTCCCATGAACCTCTGTTTCCAAGACCTGGACTCACACCCAACGCAGGCCTGGGTAGGGCACCTCAGCTTTGTCCCCAACCATGGCCACCTTGGGGGGGGGGCTCACCAGCCTGGAGTTCCTCCGGGCATCCGGGTGACATCCACATAGGTAGGCCAGCTCTGCCTGCTGCACGCACAGGTGCTCCCTGGAGGACAGCGAGGAGGATTTTAAGTGGGAAGAACAAGGGAGGAGAAGAAATGGCCATGACCACGTCCTATCATGACAGCCAGTGTTCCCAACAGAGTGGCTGGTTTGCTGTCCCTTGGCACTGTGCCAAGCAGGGTCTGGGGGCTTTTGGCAAAACCCCTAAATCAGTCCACTTATTACCACACACATCAGAAAGACAGGCACACCGACTCTCGTAGGCAGTGAGTAACCAGCCAGGGCCATGTGGCAGATGGGGAGGCTGGACCCACACCTCCCAGGGGGTGACCTTGGCCCCAGACAAGTCTCAAGGGAGCCTCTTGAGGCCAGTGTGGGGTCAGGTCGACGCCCCTAGTGTAGGGAGCCAGGTCTGGTGGGCGAGGATTCAAGGACAGTCAGCAGACACCAAACAGGGCTGACGCCATTGTTGTTATTAGGGTTTGCCAGTGGGGTCCCGGGGAAGGGTCACTCCAGACGATGGTGGGCAGGCAGTATCCACTTGGGCACATACCATGTCACGTGCTGGACTAGAGAAATGGGGGGCCTCGGCCTGCTCCCAGGAGCTGTCAGCAAGAGCCGGGGCACAGACCTGGCCACACAGGCTAAGCCACCGTGGGAACAGGGAGCAAATCATGAAAGATAAATCTGGAAAGACTGAGGGCTGGTAAGAACCCCGAGAGCTCTCCCCAGAGCAGTAGGGAGCCACAGAAGACTCTTGATTAGAGGTGGGAAAGATGAGGTAGAAGAGGGAAGGGATGGGATAGGGGGTGAGAGCAGCCAGAACAAGGCAGGAGGCACCTGAGCCTGGAGCACGGAGGTGACAGTACTGACGACCCTTTCCCTTCCTATGTTGCTGCTGCTCCCTCTGCACCATGAGTGCCACGAGACCAGGGTCCTCCTGCCTTACTCCCTGCCATGTCTCCAGCACCACAGGACCGGGCTGAGGTGGTGGCTGTGCCTGGGACACTCTTAGTGACTAAGCAAACACAGGTCCCCTCTGTGCCTTCTACAGGCGGCCCCCAGGGAACAGGCAGAGAGGGTGGCAGGACAGAAAAGCCCACAGCCATGTTTACCTGAGGCCTCTCTTCAGCGCTTCGAAGATTTTCTTCACCTGCTCGGGCTTGGGGTCCAGGAAGGCTGGGCCCTTGCGCAGTGTGCCATATGACTTGGGACATTTTCCAGGTACCCGCGACCTCACGGAGTTCCTGTTGATGGACTTTCTGTGAGAGAGGATGGAGGCAAGGAGAGGTCAGGACAGGGCTCTGGACAAAGCCCTCCCCAGAGGCAGGCACTTTGGGAACAATGACCATAGCCCAGGAGTCAAGAGACCCAGCCAAGCATTCCTGTCACCTCTAAGCTGTGTGGTCTTGAGAAAGCAGAGACTCTGGGCTTTGGTTTCCTCATCTGTAAAGTGAGAGGTCTGGATTTGAAGATTGAGAAAATACTAATAGAAACCTGGTACTGAAAAGGAGCTGAGTAAGAAACACAGCCAAGCAGCCCCAATGCCAAGGCTCTCTGACCGGCATGTCCTGTCTGTGCAGGCAAAGCAGCAATGTAAGGCCAAACTGTAGCCCCGTAGTTTATGCAGGGACAGGACACCTGCGCACCACACATTCCCTCCCTCTGTTAGTAGCACCTGGATTTTCCTCTGGGTGTCCCCAGCTCTCCTGTTCCTGCTGTGGCTGGGGATAAAGGTGACCTGACAAATCACCGTGCACAGGCACACACAGACACAGGTATTCTGAGCATGGGTCAGTCAACAACTTCCAGTCCCCTGCCCAGGGAGAGGTATGCGACTCAGGCTGGCCGATAATCAACCAGTTTGGTTCAGAGTTTGCAGGAGGAAAAAGGGGCTTTTTCTACCCTCATTGCCAATGCGGGGAAAACACACCTGGAACTTCAGCCCCGCACACAAAGCCCCCCACAGAGATGGTCAAGCAACAAGGATGGAGAAGGGCCACCCTGGACAGCAGATGCCACCCTCACCTTGCCTTTACCTCCCACTGTCCTGGGCTGCTGGACTGGGGGGGTGTCACCTGTCTTATTTGGGCCTCTGCATTTGGGGGTTCTTTTGTGAAAGCAATGTCACCCCAGGCTGCCTGCCATCTGTAAAGTGAGGGAGACATCCACATCAGAGGGTGCCAGAGAGGCTCAGATGCCAGGCTCCATGTTTGGCACAAAGGAGGCACTTAGTAGGTTCTTTATAGATGTTCACTGATGTTGAAATAGTCACACCCTTGCTGTTTCCTTCCTTTTGCACACAGCTTGGGAAGTAGTAAGTGCTCGGTTAATATCAAGCCTAACAAGGGGGGCAGATTGCAGAGCACCCCAGGACTGGAGAACAGAGAACGACGTGTGACCACAGTCGGTCCCAGATCTCCAACTTGAAGGTGGCAGAGGTGGACTCCTAAGGCCTAAGCATGGAGCAGGGGGCAGGTGAAGATTCTCTCAGTGGTAGTGGAGGTTGGTGGTGGTTGTCACCACCTCCACCCCATGTGGCATTCAGCGGCCTCGGGGCCTGAAAATTGCATCTGTGCCACAGTCCCAGGTGCTGGTCCCTGGACCACACGTTGGAGACCTCTACGTTGGAGACCTCTGCCTGTGCGCCTGGGGCCCCAGCTACTCAGGACACTGAGGCTGGACAGCTTGAACCCAGGAGTTCAGGGTCAGTTTGGACAACATTAAAAGACCCTATGTATATGGGGGAGGGGTGGAGTTTGAACTCAGAACCTCACGCTTGCTAGGCAATCGCTCTACCACTTGAGCTACTCCACCAGCCCTTTTTGGTGATGGGTTTTTTTGAGATAGGGTCTCAGGAACTATTTGCCCAGGCTGGCTTCAAACCGTGATCCTCCTGATCTCTGCTCCTGAGTAGCTAGGATTACAGGCGTGAGCCACCAGCACCCTGTCTTGAAAGAAGAAAAGAAGGGAGGGAGGGAGGGAGGGAGGGAGGAAGGAAGGAAGGAAAGAAAAGAAAAAGAAAGTGCTGTCTTTAGGATTCTTCGTCTATGCTTCACCAGGGAGATGTCCTCCCACTAAGAGACCCACCTCCGAGCCTTCCGGGACCCCCTCTGAGGTCACCGCACTTTACAAAGCCAAGGGCCAGATCCATCCTTTGGGCAGCCACTCACAGAGCTGGGCTTTCTCCTGGCCAGGCGCATGTGACCTGGGTCCCTCCCCAAGGGCTCACAGCCCACAACAGAGAGGCAAGGACAAGGTCTGGAGAGCCAGGCAGGGGAGGAGCAGGACACAGCTCCTTCGCCAGCCCTGGGAAGAGCCAGAAAGCCACTGCCCCACTCTGGTCCCCAAGAAACTCAGCAGCAGTGAGGCTGTGTTTCCAGTTGGGCTGGATGCTGCGTGTTCCACTCAGACGGTGCCTCCCGTGACTGGGGCAACCCACACCCAGGTTCCTGCCACCACACAGGTGGCAACCCTAACCAGTTGACTTTGCTGGTTAGGGACACGGGGCCCAAGTCAGCCACCAGCTCAACCCCAGCACAAGTCTCAGGCACAGAACCCTCATCTCCTTATCTGCACATGGGCCTCATTCAGTTGTCATGAGATATTCATTCATTGAACAGACATTTACTAAGCACCTACTGTATACCAGACACCATTCTAGGGGCTGGGGGCAGATCAGTGACCTGTGATCTTGCCAGCTGGACAAGACCATAGGGAGTGGCAGCAGCACAGGCTATGGAGACAAACATTGGGGTCTGCATCTGGCAACCCCACAAACAAGCTGTGCAACCTTGGATAAGCTATTGAACCGCCCAGTGCCTTAATTTCCTCATCTTAAAATGGGTCCAGGGCCTGAGTTGTTACAAGGGTTCCACGGGCTAATAAATCCTGCGGGCTCTGAGCAGTGTCAGAGAGAGAGCAAGACCCACATACCTGCTGAAGTTAAGTCAGGTCTGTTTGAAATGCTCACATCAAATGACCTATTGCCAAGGGAGAAAGAAGCAGGAGGAAGGAAAGGAATTTGAAGAGGGCAGATTGGGACTGTGCCTCCAGCCAGATGGCAAGACTGGCACACCATCGGTGCTCAGTTCCTGATAGTCATACCAACTATATGTCAAGCGATGGTTTCCAAAACCCGAGGGGGTGGCACCCCTCCTTCCCTCTCCCTCCCCGAGGTCACATCACCCACCTCCGGGAACGGGCCCTCCACCAGGTTGCCATCTCAGCCGCAGATCTGCTGTGCTGCAGCCGTGGGGACAGGTGGATTTCCAACAGGTGGCTGCCAGGAGGGCAGGTGAGGTGGTGGCCGTTCCCAAGCCCACAGTCCTGGCAGGGCACACCCTGCTGCCCTTTCCTGTACCTGGAGACCCGGACTCTGAGGCTCTGAGGTCTGCCAGCTCCTGTCTTCTCTGAGGACCATCTGTGCAGCCTGGGTGGTAAAATTAGGCTGCGTGGATGGCCCAGGTGTCAAAAGGGTGGAGCGGGGCGGGGAGCAGCCTCCGGGGGCGGCTGTGTCATCAGCCCCATGAGTACTCAGTAAATATTAAACAGCCCTGCTGGCAGACTGCCTTCCAGCTGCCTCATGTGCACGTGGGGCGGCCTCTGCCTGCACCATCGTGTCCCACTCCTGCTCCCGCCTCCAGGACTAACCCACAGCCTTCTGCCCAACCACTGGGCTGACCATCGCGCTGGTGTTCGCGACCTGGACAGTCAGAGGGTGAAGCTGTGTTTCTCACTCTTTGTACCCCCAGCCCACCTCCTCCTGCTGTGGTCTGTGAGGTCCGTCCCCAAGTACCATCGAGGACCCAATCTCTTGTGACCTGCCCTTGACTGCTTCAGGCACAGGGCCAGGGGCCTCCCTCCAGTCCCCTCCCCTGGAAAACCAAGGGCTTCTATTAAATGTCACACCTAAAGTTCCCAGCTGACACACAGATGATTTCCTGAGGTGGCCAGGAGATGGAGGCTCCTGGCTCAGGGGAACCTGCCTGACAGCCTGGGGGAGGGGTTCCGATTGTTGTGGGGGCAGCAGAAAGGGGTGAAGGGCAGCTGTGTCTGCCAGTGAGGAAAGCTGGGGCACTATTAGGGCCCGGTCCTCTTTTTCTTCATTCCCTCCCCCGCTCCTCACCCCCAGGGTCTGGAAAATGGAAGCAGCCCTATTGTAGCAACCATTCACACTTTAGCATAAAGTTCTGCCATCAGGTTATTTCTCCAAGTGCATTCTTTGGCTGTGCTTTGACTCTCTCTGTAGCGAAAGGGATTCAGGTACAGAGTTGGGGGTGGAGGTGAGGAGTGGTGAGACACAGGAGACATCAGCCCACCCTGAGTGGAGACCTGCTTACCTGCCTGACCCACCCCAGGGCTGAGTGCCTCAGCAGCATGGCTGTGTCAGCCTGGTTGTGTTACCTGGGAAATAAGGCCAGAAGGGAGGCCTGAAACCCAATCCAGGGCGCCCAGCTCCAGAGCCCAGGGACTTAGACAGAATCAGGAAGCTAAAAATAGATGTTTTTCTTCCATGTTGCCATGGGCAGCTTCTTCCTACCCTTGGACCAGGACTGCAGAGGGTATTCAGGGACTCGGCCCAGCACAGGCCCAGCATCCTCCTGCCCGGGGACCCAGGAGGGGTCCAAGTACTGACAGCCATCAGGACCATACTCCCTAGACCAAGCAATGGGCATCTGGGGACACTGGCTGATGCTTGTGAGGCCGCCGTCATGGGACCAGGTCACCTCTGTCCTCCTCACCCCGAGTGCTGGCCCCAGGCCTCCAGTGGGGCAGCAGAGCTCCTGCGGGGGAGGTGAGTGGTCAGAGAACCTGTTCCACGGACACTGGATGTTCAGAGGCGCCAGAGGCCTGGCAGCTGGAGCTGCTGTGAAGTTTGTGGGGGTCCCATGCGAAACAGAAACACAAGTGCCTCCAGCCTCCCGAGGGCACTGAATCTAAACACAGGACCCGCACAAGCCGCAGGGCTGCAGCCTCTGGTCCTGCAGACCATTCATCAGACTCCACTTGGAAAGAGCCACCAGGCTGGTGTCCCCTTGGCCAGGCGACCTGCACACTGAACTCTCCAGACCTGATTGCAGACCATGGGGGCAAGGCCCCAGGACACCCAGGAAGAGGCAGCTCAGAGATACTGAGAAACAGCATCAACCACAGTGGGTTTACAGTTACCCTTCCATCAGCATTTATGGGGCACCTACTGTGTACTTTCCTCCCGGGTTCAGAGTCAGGGGCACTGGGTCTTTGGCTGAATTTCCTCCCATCTGGAGCCTCTGCTTAAGCCTGAGGTAGCTCTCCACACTGCGAACGTCTCAACTTCTTCCTGCAGCCACAAGGCCCACAGCGGCCTCCTCCCTCTGCAACCCTGGTACCACAGGCTGGCCACACCTTGCCTCAGGACCTTTGCACTTGCTGTGCTCACCAGCCTCACTCTACCATCAGCTCCTTCTGTTCCCTCAAGCCTTTGCTGAAATGAGGCCCTGCCCACTGAGGCCCCTGGAGACAACTCCCCCGCCTTGGTCACCCTGCCCACACTGCTCTAGGTCCTGAGTTGTTCTTGCCAAGGATTTGTTTACTATTGGCTTATGTCACTGCCTTCAGGACCCTGTGCCCAGGAGGGTGGGGCCTGAGTCATAAATGCCGACTGAGGCCTGAAGGCTCCTAAGGTGCCCCCTGCCGGCCGACACCCTCCAGCATTTCATTGCACCCCGCAGGGCCACTGCTCTAGGCACACCGCACAGTGGAGCGGGCCAGGGGCCAGGTGAGAGACAGACGCAGGCATGGAGGACCACTGGCCTGGAAGGGCCGGGGCCACCACGCCCATGAACTCTGGGCAAGCGCAAGGAGCCAGGACAGGAGGAGCCTGGGCTGGGCTGGGCTGGGCTGGGCTCAGGGTCTTCCCCTAGGTTGTGGCACGACACCAGGCCTGGGGAGGGTGAAGCAGGAACTGGGCAGGGAAGAGCCCAGGAGGAGGGCTCAGGGTGTGCAGAGGCCTGGGAGGAGGACCCATCCCAGGACCTCATGGACACTGGGTTGCACCCAAGTAGCCAGGCGCTTCAGAAGGTTCCAACCAGGCTTGTGGCATCATGAGATTTGGTTGTTGATTGACCCTCCGTACACTGCTCTGGCTGGGTACCCCACCTGCACACCCCATCTGCTTAGATGTTTGAACCCTCAGATGCCTGAAAAGCCACCCCCTGCACCCCAGTTGACAGGCAGCTCCCTGGAGGCTTGCACAGCGGCCACCGCAAGGCACCGCGTGCTGTGACTCCAGGGGCAGACACAAACCTTCCACTCAGGAACTTAGTACCCAGTACTGGAGGAGACACAGGAGGAACAGAGGCCCCACCAGCCTGGCCAGCACCTCCTGACTCCAGACCTGTCCCTGTGGGAGCCACTGTCCTCAGCTGACAACTCCCCCACGTGCCTGTGGTGTGGCAGGAATGCCAGCAGCTCACCTTGTGTCACCTCTCTGCATCTTCATGACAACCCTACAGGGGAGGGGCATGCATGCCTCTCATTTTCAGATGAGGAAACCAAAGCTTAGAGCTAGGAAGTCACTTGCCACAGATCATAGAGCCAGGATAGGTGGCCCCATTATTCAGGCCACCAAACAGGAAGAACATTCCTTCCTAACTCCACCCCTGCGAGACTAAATCCAGCTCTGGTGTGGTTTTGCTGTGTGACCTTGGGCTGGTGGATTCGCCTCCCTGAGTCTGTTTCCTACCTGCCAAGTGAGCCAGATCAACTTCTGGTGCACTTGAAGTAACAACTGCTCAGGTCTTGAGGAAATTATAGGTTCCTCCCGGCAGCAGGACACACACACACCTGTGTCGCAGCCTGCCAGCCCCTCCCAGGCTATGGGTCCAGCCCCCCCCCACCCCCCCCACCCCCGCTGGCGACCCCCCAGGCCCGGCCGCACTCACGAGATCCTTCGACTCTGTGTGTTGCTGAAGCCAGCAAAGGAGGCGCTGCGGCCCACGGCCCCCACGGCCCCCATGGCCCCTGCGTCCCCAGGAGACAGGAACCGCAACCTCACCGACATGGCCGTCACCTGCAAGGAGAGGAAAGGAGAGTCAGCTTGGCCTAGCTGCCTCCTGAGTGCCCGGCCTCAAGGCAGCCCCAGGGAGTGGGCAGCTGGTCTCATCACCACTCACAGAACAGCAGAGAAAGGCTCTGGAAGGTCAGGGGCCCTGATGGGACAAGTGGTGGGAGCAGGGTTCGAAGCCAGGTTCTTCCTGCCCGAGCCCTGCCTCCTGAGGCAAGGGTCAGAACTGGGATTCAGCTCCTCTCACCTCCCCCATGTTCCTCCACCTGTGCAAACCCTCACCAAACACCTACTATGAGCTAGGCCCTGCACTACACTCACCACGCAACACCCCTGCGATCTCATGGACCATGGCGGTCAGGCCTGCAGAGAAGAGTAGGAAGCTGGGCTGGGACTCGGCCATGCCCAGGGTGCCCAGAGCTGGGAAGGGAAGACCAAGGGGGAAGCTGAGGACCGGTGGCTTATCCTGTAATCCCAGCTCCTTGGGAAGCTGAGAACAGGAGGTTTCGGTTCAAGGCCAGCCAGGGCAAATAGTTTGTGAGACCCCTCATCTCCAAAATAACCAGAGCAAAATGGACTGGGGGTGTGGCCTAAGTGGTAGAGCACCTGCTTTGCAAGTACAAAGCCCTGAGTTCAAACCTCTGTCCCACCAAAAAAATAAATAAATAAAAAAGACTGAGGGGGTGGAGGAGACAGCAGTATAGCACGTGCAAAGGCCCAGAGACACAAGAAGAGTGACTCAGTGTAACCCATAAGCAGAGCAATTATGTGGGCAGGGCTGTGGCTCCAGATAGGATCAGAGAGGCTACAGAAGTCCCAAGGGGCTTTCGTGGCCTGAGGAAGACCTTGGCCTTGCCACTGGGCAAAGGTAACTGGGAGGCATGGGAGGGTTGTGAGCAGGGGTGACAAAGCCCAGTTCACAGACTGCTGCCATCAAGGGCTGCTGTGGCCCTGGGCCCATCACCTGTCTCTGACCAGGCCACCATGAGGCCAGTCCAGAGCTCTGGCTGTCATTTCTTTTTCCAAACCATCTCCAGGTTGGAAAAATGCCACCACCTCCCTTGAGAGCACAGCCCTTGGAGCTGGCATCCCTAGCACAGGCCGTCGGAAAGTTCTCCTTGATATCTAACCTAAATCTCTGCAGCTACAGTTTCATACTTTGCTCCTCAGCCAGGGTGGTGCCAATCCAGGATTCTAGGGACCCTACTGCAAACAGCTCTGCCCTTCTTTCCTTTTCCACGCCTCCTGCTTGCGCTGGACCTTTGACTGAGATGACCACACAGCTGTCCAATGTCACGCCTCGTCTTTAGTCAGCCCCTTGCAGGAACCCAGGACCCCACTCTGCACCCCCAGCATGTCTGAGTGCCCCACAGCACCCACCCTGCCCTGTGCACAGAGCACAGGGAAGGGTTGGAAAAAGGCCAGACCTGGGCTCCAATCCCAGCCATGCTTCCGACTGGCTCTGGGCCTCAGTGGTCACAAATGTGAAATGGGGGTCCAGAAGATTCCCTTGGAGGCTGTGGGAAGGACCCAGGACAGGATGGACTGAGAGCCCCTGGGCTGCAAGGGAGGAGTCCTTGTCTGTGCGTGAACTGACTGAGCCTTCCCTCCCAAGGTGAGTTGCCAGGGCAAACGGGCAGTAATTGCCCAGTCCCCAGCATGCAGAGCCCTCCCAGCAAGTGACACTTACCACTTAGGGCTGGACAGAGGAGGACAGGAGAGCTGAGGCTCCCCTCAGCCAACACCAGGTGCCATGACCCATCTGTGAATTTATCATGGCATTACCCGTGGCAACCCCCTTTTCCACAAGAGGAGGAGAAGCTCTGGGACTGCAGGGGCCTGACCGTGATTTCAAACTGAGCACAAGCTTCTAGGTGAGGCTGCCTTCCTGGCTAACCCTTGAGTCTTCCTGCCAAAGTCACCTCCATTGGGAAGCCCGCCTGGACATCTCCCTCTCCATGACTGTGTCAGGATACCCCGGCTCCTGTGTCCTGGTTCCCACTAGTCACCGTGTACTCTCGGTGTGACTTGCTCCTTCCCGCCAGCCAGAGCTCCTTGCAGCAAGGATCAGATGTGTGTGTAAGCAGCACCCCCTTCACTGGCCAGGCACCCAAGGGGACAATAACAGTTATCATCACCACACCAGACCCTGAGGCGGGGTGGACAAAGGCCTCTGTAGAGGTCCAGATAGGAAATTTCTGGCTTCACAGGCCATATGGTCTTTGTCACAACCGCCCAGCTCCACCATTTCAGAGGAATAACAACCACAGAGGGCTGAGGGTGTGGCTTAAGCAGGGCGCCTGCCTGGCGAGGCTGAGTTCAAACCCCAGTACCACCAATGAATGAATGAATGAATAGGACAGCACTGATATTTTTGGGCTTCAAGACTCTATTCTAAAATCCCTAGATGGTCCAAGGCCTGAGGCAGTGATTAATATAACAACCTTATATCCTCCTTACAGAGCCCATCCACTCCCCGCATCAAAGTCAATTGGGGAAGAGGAAAGGCAGCCTCTGTGAATTGGCCAAGTCATTTGGGGGGGGCCATAGGAGGTCATCAGTCTCATGACATCTAGTAACTACACCCTACTGAAGAAAACCCAATCCCTGACAACTTCCAGGAAATCTCTTTCTCTTTTTTTTTTTTTGTGAAGATTGGGGTTTGAACTCAGTGCTTTGTACTTGCAAGCAGGGCTCTACCACTTGAGCCACACCTCCAGTCCATTTTGCTCTGATTATTTTGGACATAAGGTCTCATGAACTACTTGCCTGGACTGGCCTCAAACAGTGATCCTCCCAATCTCAGCCTCCCAAGTAGCTTGGATTCCAGGCGTGAGCTCCCAGGGCCTGGCCAGGCAGTCACTCTTTCCCTGAACTGCCCACCTCATCCCTCAAAGTGTAAATCTGCTAATCACTCTTTACTAAAAAAAAAAAAAAAAAAGGCAAGCACAGGGGATATGCAAATGAGTGGGCGTGACTGTGTTCCAACAAAATTGTTACAAAGCAGCAGCTACTGGCAGAGGACATTTCTCGTGCCTCTGACCCCATCCCTGCCAGGCTTGCCTGCTGCCTGATCCGAGGGCTGTAAGCACTGAGTTCAATACCCCATGACACAGGGGCTGTTTTTATCCCAGTTCTGCTGACAATGATCCTGAGGCTCAGGCCAGGATGGTCAGTAAGACAGGAAATGCCAGAGCTGGGACTTGAACCTGGACATCTTGGGCCCTGAAGCCTGGCACTCATCACTGGGCTTTAGGTGCCCAGCCCCCATGGGCCCTGGTGGCCAGCCAACAGCCCCCTCCACCACCCAGCAGGAGCCCCCTTCCAGCCTGCTCTGTGGGGCTGATCTGTGTAAGGCAACAGGCTCACCCAGCTGGGTCTCTCTTAGGGAGAGAAAAAGGACTGGGGGCTCGGATGGCAGGAGCCCCAGGAGACTTCAGAGGTTAGCTCCTGACAGGCCCATAGATACTGGTCACCCGTGCCCTAAGGTGACCTTCCTGATGTTACCACAGGAAAGTGGGCACTGGAGTCCTTGGAGACCCCTCCCCGCCCATCAAGATTCGGTCAGGTCTGGGTATCTCTGGAGGGGCCCAGGGTCATGGGGAAGGACACTCAGGTGGCTCAGGGCAGCCCTGGGAAGCCAGCACTCTGGAAGGCAGAGACCAACCAGGACCCCACAGGGCCGCTGGACAGAGGGGGCCCGGCAGTTGTGTGGTTCCCAAACCTTTGGTGGAGGCAAGGTGGCCTCTTGGGCTCCTCTGTCCCTCGCTGCCTCACTCTGGCCTCCCAGCGGAGGCTGCTGGGACCGGCAGGCCAGCTGACAAGGCTCCCACCAGGCTGGCTGCTCCCCAGACACTGAGGACTGTCCTGGCCCTCAGTCCCAGGTGCGGCTGGAGGAAGCAGAGCCCACCCCACTCAATCTGTCCACCTCACTGTGGCCACAGCCGCCCTGCGTCCCCGCCACTGCCGCCCGCCAAGGAACCTGCAATTTCACCTCATTTAGAGGTGAAGTGGCTAAATTTGGCATCGTGGGCTTCGAGGCTGGGTGGCTTTTATGTCTGAGTCCTTCACTTAGGGCTCTTTTTTCTCCTCAAATGCCAGTCAGGCCTTAGTTTGCTTATAGGACTTTCCAAAATAGTTGTTTTGGTTTAGCAATGAAAGGAAATGGCCGAGTCACTGGGGATCAGGAATGTGTGTGTGTACAGGACAGGGACCAGCGTCCCCAGCAGAAGGCTCTGGAACCAGACTGTCTGCACTCCAGGGAGCCAACCCTCATTGTACCAAGGGCAGGACCAAGCCCACATGCTCACGTGGCTTGCCTGGGTCCCCCAAAGGTGACAGGAAGAGTAGAGGAATCCCCCTGCTACCCCCAGAGCCCTCTTCCCACTCTGCTGGGGTCATCTCTGGGTCTTTGTGTTAGCTTTGCCCTCTGCCAGACACACTGTCCCCCCCAGGTCCCTCCCAGTCTTTAGGCCTCAGCAGCAAGCTCACCTCCTCAGAGAAGGAGGACCTGGGGGGACCCCCACTCTGTCCAGGCCCTTCAGAGGACCTATTCTCAGTTCTGGGGTTAGCTGTGTCCCTCCACTCCAGGGCAGACTGGTTCAGTCCCAGTCACAGCTGTGGGCCATGTTGAGTAAGCACCCAATTGAAAGAATGAATGCTGGGAGGATGTCTCTCAAGACTGTGTCTTAGGCTCCTCCCTAGATCCATGCACAGCTCTGAGTCAGCTAGAACCCGGCGTGACAAGAGGAACTGGGGAGCAAAGACAAGAACCCCTAGCCCAGCCCCAGGAGTGGGTGAGCACTGACAGCCCCTGGAGAGTGACATCTCCTGCTGCAATCTGAGGTGGGTAGTCAGGATGAAAGAGTGTGCCAAAATTGGGAACAGCGTGTGCAAAGGCTCAGAGACGAGAAAGACAGGCTTAGTTGGAGAACTGCAGAGTTCAATCTGTCTGTCTGCAGCACCAGATACAGTCGGGAGCACTGCGAGGGGGCTGTACC